GAAATAAAGCCCTAAACCCCCCCCTTCCATGATGAACTCCACGGTTTGCAAGAGAGAGAAAGGAGTTTTAGTTGTGTGAATAGTGATTCACTTGAATGACAAAGCTTTATAGCCAAATGTGACTTTTTAACAGATGTTTTTCTTTCGCGTATTTTCACTTAAACTGACCCGGAACTAACTCAACGCTACCAACATATTTTTATTTTTCTAAAATCATTTACATTAATTTTTATTTCCTAAGAAACAATATTTATAATTCACAGTGTGGTTTCTGGACCGTTTTGACGAAATGCACTGTGAACCACTAATTGTACTTCGTTTACTTCTGAACTTAAGACTTATACACTTGTCATTTTCTTGGGCCTATATTGACTTGCTTGGCATATATTGGACTTTCTTATTCTTATTTCATCAATTATTTATTTCTGGACTCTACCGGTTGCTTAAACAGCGGTACAAAATACCCGGTAGAAACACTATTCACGAGATTTTCACGGAAAGTGCCAGACTATACAATTTTCCGTTCTGAACTCATATTTGACGTCAGAATTGTCAAATTATGTCTCTAAAATCATTTTACTCATTTAAGCTCTACTGGTTAATTCACAAAACTGCAAATTCTCCGGCAGAACGCATTGTTCATAACATAGTCATGATTACAGTCAAAATACTTGAAATCACTCACTGAATCTAATTATGGCATTTAAATCCTTAATTTAAATCTCTAATTAAGATTTACTCTTTAGGGTCATTATAGCATCTCTCAGTTGCACTCTATAGGCCCTTGGACTCTTGATTCTGGGGCTTCTGATCATATTTCTGGTAATAAGTCCTTATTCACTTCTCTTTGTACCACTAGTTTTTTTCCAACGATTACTATGGCCAGTGGGTCTCTGGTCCAATCAAGGGGGATTGACACGGTTCTTCTTTTACCCAATTTATCTCTGGATCATGTTCTATATGTGCCCGATTCTCCTTTTAACTTACTTTCTGTTAGTCGTTTAACCAAATCCATTAACTGTGTTGTTTCTTTTACTAAAACCTCTGTCATCTTTCAAGATCGGAGTTCGGGCAAGGAGATTACCAAAGGATGTGAGTCTCAGGGCCTCTATCAACTAGTTCCCTCTTCTTCAGCTTGCTCCTCTGTGGATTCTCCTCTTACTATCCATGCTCGTCTGGGCCATCCTAGTCTTGCAAAGCTTCAGAAGATGGTTCCCCATTTACCGTCTATTTCTACTTTAAGTTGTGAGTTTTGTCAGTTTGGGAAACATACTCGTAGTACGTTTCCGAGTCGTCTTAGTCGTCAAGCTGTTTCTCCTTTTTCTGTGGTCCACTCTGATGTTTGGGTACCAAGTCGTCAGTCTTCTACTTTGGGTTTTAAGTACTTTGTTACTTTTATTGATGATTATTCCATATGTACTTGGTTATTTTTAATGAAAAAGAGGTCTGAGTTGTTTTCTATTTTCAGTTATTTTATAATGAAATAAAAACTCAGTTTGGTATTCCTATTCGTACTTTTCGTAGTGATAATGCATGTGAGTACTTATCTCATCAATTTCAACATTTCTTTTCATCTCATGACATTCTTCATCAAACATCTTGCCCTCATACACCTCAACAAAATGGTGTAGCCGAGCGTAAGAATCGCCATCTGGTTGAAACCACTCGTGCCTTGTTAATTGATGGTAATGTTCCATACATCTTCTGGGGTGATGCTGTACTTACTGCATGTTATCTCATTAATCGCATGCCATCATCTGTTCTAAATCATAAGGTACCTCACTCTATTTTATTTCCCCATCAGGCTTTATATCCTTTAACTCCACATGTGTTTGGTTCTACGTGTTTTGTTCATCATCTTGGTCCAGATTTGGATAAATTAGCTCCCAAGTCTCATAAATGTGTTTTTCTGGGTTACCCTCGGTCTCAGAAGGGTTACTGTTGCTACTCTCCCACTTTACGTCGATACTTTATCTCGGCGGATGTCTCCTTTTTTGAATCAGTTCCCTTCTTTGGATCCTCTTCTACTCCTATGGACACTGATTCTGTACAGTCATCCTTCCCAGGTGACCTTCTTTACCTTCCGTCTTTTCCCGTCCATGCTTCTGACTCTCTTTCTATCACCTCTTCTGCTGACGAGATCGAGCATAGTTCGTCAGATGTCTCTGTGGACTCACATTCACTTGTATCTCCTCTCACAGCTTCGGTCCCACCTTCGGATAGTGACCTTCCCATTGCTCTTCGTAAGGGTACTCGTGATACTCGCCCTCCGGCCAGGTATACAGTCAATATTAGTTACCAACGTCTTTCTCCATCATATTTTGCTTGCCTTTCCTCTTTGTCCTCTGTATCTGTTCCTAAGACTACAGGTGATGCACTTTCACATTCGGGATGGAGACAAGCTATGATTGATGAAATGAGTGCTCTTCATCATAGTGGCACATGGGATCTGGTGCCTCTACCTTCTGGAAAATCTGTGGTTGGTTGCAGATGGATTTATGCTGTTAAGGTTGGACCTGATGGTCAAGTGGATCGTCTTAAAGCTCGCTTGGTGGCGAAGGGTTTCACTCAGGTCTTTGGCTTGGATTTTATTGATACTTTTTCTCCTGTGGCGAAAATGTCTACTGTTCGCCTTTTTATTGCCATGGCTGCTATTCGTCATTGGCCTCTCTACCAACTGGATATCAAGAATCCTTTTCTTCATGGAGATCTTGAGGAAGAAATTTATATGGAGCAACCTCCTGGATTTGTTGCTCAGGGGGAGTCTGGTCTTGTTTGTCGTCTTCGTAAGTCTTTCTATGGCCTCAAACAATCTCCAAGAGCTTGGTTTGGTAAATTTAGCAGTGTTGTTCAACAATTTGACGATTGCATAGGATGAGATAAGATCATCTCCCTAGAATGAGAGAGTGCATACACATTTCCCTTTATCACTTGAGACATAGTCTAGAAGATCTGCCACATTCCAGCTTCAAGGAGATTGTTACTATTGCGGCGCTGATGATCCATTACATCTAAAGGCTTCAGCATAATCAATTACTCCTACAATCGGGTTGCTTATAATGGTTTTGATTTAAGTTTGGTTATTTTGATATTGTGCTTTGACTTGTATATATTGTTGATTTTAGTGGCTTTTTTAGGGCAATTTCTAGTGGCTGCTTCTTGACTTCTGCTTTGTGCTTTAAATGCAATGCTTGAGTGGGTTTTTATTCATTAGTTTGATTATAACAATTTGACTTGTTAAAATTTAGGTCATTAATGATATTAGAAATATTATTGATGTTTGTCTGTGCTATTATTTGGTTGATTTTATGTGTTTAAATTGTTGTTAGTTTTGCAGTTGATCTTAAGAGTGTCATTGTGGATGAATAGATTAGGATTAATTTATCTTTGTTATTCCTGTCTTGTTGGGGTTCTTTGCTCCGTTGTGTGAATGAGATTTATTCCTACATTGAGTATACATGTTATTTGAATTTCTTTCACTCTCTAATCTTTTGGTATTATCTTCAAGAATTCATTCTTCCAGTAGTGTAGTTTTTATGTGTTCTTATATCTCTTTTCCATTCATTGTATTGTATTTACACGAAAATATGTGTTACCTTCTCCAATATGTTTAGAAAGCTATTACACTAATGAGTAATATAAATTACCTTTGAAGTGTTATTGTAAATTGTAATATGCTAATTGTGGTTTTAGTATGGGCTCCTTTCTTTGGTATCATAGTATATTAGTTGATATGATAATGATCAATCAATTTTGGGATTAAGGGATGTAATTCATACAGATCAATTCCTTCTTGGACCTTGATTGTAGAGGCTCGATTTAATGTCTCTGACCTTGATTGGATATTACTACTTTTGTTCATCTTTATTTGTTCTCATTTTGTGGGTCGTAACATATTAATGTGAGTCTGTTTCTTACTATCTAGTGCGTGTATGTTGTCAGAGATAAGAAAGCGGGCCAAAAGAGCTTGTTTTCGGAACAGTGATCAAAATGCCAGTAAGTACATAGTTACAAAATATTTTTACAGTCACTTTAGATAAGGTTATCTACAACTATCTTTTCTAACTATGTATTTCCGAAAGTACATAGTTACAAAAGATAGTTGTAGATAACCTTATCTAAAATGGCTGTAGAAATATTTTATATATATGGGAAAAATATTTCTCAAGCACCTTGAGAGAAGTTTATCTTCGGCTATCCCAAAACTACGTCATTTTATTTATTTATTTTCTTATATTAATTGATTCACCTTTGAATGGCTATGATTTCCTTTTTCTCTCTCTTCCTTTATCACCATTGATCCATCTTTGTACGGTTTTGATTTAGTAGCCGGAGATAAGATTATCTCAAGCAGCTTGAGAAACGATAAGCCCTATATATATATATATATATATATATATATATATATATATATATTAGTACATTACAATTCATCTATTTAAATGATTTTTTTATCATATCATTGTTCCAATATACTTTTATCCTTTGCTTTCTGTGTTACGAGACATTTTATCTTCAATTTTCTTTGGTGGGGTTATCATTTCAATTTTCAGCCATGCGTTGGCTCGGAAGGCCCAATTTGAAACATAACTGCGTGATGGTTATTCCATAATTACGCTCTTGCCCTTGATGGGGCTTTCTCTTTTCCAATGTTCAATAGCATGCTTTATTCACATATCAAATGAGTGAAAGATAGAGGGGCTCCTTAGGTTTTAGCCCTTTTTTATATTATCTTGGTTCATAAATTATTCGATTATTCCGATTCAAGGATTATATGGGCGATAAAGTTCCTCCTATCAAATTTTACAACAGCTGCATTTCTAGGGACTCAAATTCGAAACCATTGATTAAGCTGAAGCAATCCTTTACTAATTAATCCACGTGATTGGTGGTGTTTTAGCCTTTTTTTGTATCCACACAAAAAATAGATAGAGGCACTTTGAATAAAGGACAACAACCATACTGCCACGATTTTGAAATAAATTATTGGAATGCCACATTTCAAGACCTATTCTTAGCATCGACACGTTCAATTTGCCTCATGTCACACATATAGGGACCTATTTTGAGTAGTGATAAGTCCATAACGTGTCATTATTAAAAGCGGGGCGCTGTATGCGCAACACATGACAATTGATGGTGTCTTTTTATGCAGTTGGGTTACAATTTTGACATATGATGGATCCTAGACTAGTCACTGTTTAGAATTGGTTCCTATACACATAACATGTGGCAAACCGAACCTGTCAATGCTCAAAGTGAGTCCTAAAATTTAACATTTTGATATATATATATATATATATATATATATTTTAGTAATCTCAAGGGTATCCTCCAGCTGTAACCGAAGACTAATCCCCATCGAGCACTGTCGAACTCTTTTAGGGGCTGCTCTCCCCAATCCTTTTTTTCCATTCTCAGAACTCGAACTCAAAACCTTTAGTTAAGGGGCTCAGGCTCTTTACCACCTGTGTCAAATGAGTTTGGTTGATATTTTGTTTTTGAATATGCAATTTAACAATTAAAATACAATAATATAGATAAAGGTGCTCTGAACAATATTATATTCAACTATAAATAATACCTTGTCTTTTACTTGGTTGTTGGACTTCTTCAAACGCCAGGGGAGAAAAACGAAAAAAATTAATATACTATCATGGTATCTACAATTTATCACTAGGAGTATAACATCTCACATGTTTCCTTCCTGAATAGAAAAAAAAAAAAAAACTTTAATATTATATTTATGTTCGAAATTACATAATTTGTAAATTTATTTAAGCTGTGAGTCGTACCCACTGCTTAATATGACAATAATAATAAAAATATTCTCGAGAAAAACACAATTTTTTCATTTGAGCCTCGAGGCACAAGAACATTTTCAATATTACCTTCATACTGAATAGTGGATATGACTCTCTTTTAAAATAAAATTACAAATTATATATTCTTTGAAATACATAATTATATGAGAGGAGTTATATTGACAAAAAAATTTTTTACAGATTACACTAAGTCTGACTGGTCAAACTTCAATAAAGAGTGTATGACTGGTCAGACTTAATTTAGATTGTAAGAATTTGTAAATAAAAAATTTGTAAATATAATCTTTTCCTAACTATAATATTAAAGATATTTTTTTATTTTTTTTCTCCTATTAAAGAATATGTTAGCTCGAGGCACATGTGGACATGGGGGGACACAACAACTTTGCATCAGCTTCTTCAATAGCATACTTTAAATAGCAAAACGGAAGTCTGGTATAGCCGTTTATATCTCATAGCCAAATTTAGTAGACAGGGAAATCATATAATATGAGATTATTTTTTTCATATTGTACTCGCATCGAATAATATATCATTTTTTTTCTTTTCTCTTTTGAAATCAATGGCTCCATTTCATTTATGTAAGTAAGAAATAGAATTTCTCTCCACGAGAAAAATAATCTCCTATAATATATCATGCTCTAAGATATTTCAACATTTTGGTCTAATATTTTTTAAATTTTTATTTATACAAGTAAAAGATTAAAATAACACCCAAAAATCATTTTATGACATTTACAATAAGAGTTTTTTTTTTTTAAAGTTACTTTAGATAACTTTATCTAATGTTCATCGAAACGACATCATTTTGGGACGAAAATCATGTGTTTTTATAATTTTAATTTATTTCAGGGTTATAATAGTCTTTATCATTATAATTTTTTAATTTTTTAACCTCAAAACGACGTCGTTTCGATGAACATTAGACAAAATTATCTAAAGTAACATCAGAAACTTTTTTCCCTTACAATAGTTAAGAGGGAAAAGTGTGTATCATTTTGAAGAACACAAAGTTCTATCATTTTAAGTGAGAGAAAGAGATAAATCATGAGAGAGAATAGGTGAAAAAAATTTAAATGTGTGAATCTCATCTCTTTATGAGAATGAAAGGATGTAAAGTATATCATTTAAAATGACACACATTTTTTCCTAATTAGATTAAGAAATTATTAGTATTATGTCATAAAAGAATAAATTGTCTCCAACCATAAAAACAAACATACAGTGGGTCTCATTAAAAAAGAAAATAATAATAAAATAAAGTCGATTATTTTTTCAAATCGGTAGAAGAAAGATATTATCTTATTTGATATAAAAATAAGAGTAAATATCATTTTTAGTCCCTAACAAAAAATACGGTCCTCACTTTAGTCCCTTACAAAAATAAATTAGTCAGTTAGTCCCTAACAAATTCAAAGTGGACCCATTTAGTTGAAATCGTGGTCCCTCACAAATTCAAAAAAGACCCATATTAGTCCCTCAAAAGGACTAAAATGGGTCCACCTTGAATTTCTTAAGGACTAACTGACTAATTTATTTTTGTAAAGGACTAAAGTGGGGACCGTGTTTTTTGTTAGAGATAAAAAATGATATTTACTCTAAAAATAACAAAGCACTTAAAATTAACATGTAAAAGATTAATGTATCGCCTAAAAAATAAGTGAGCAAGAAATTTGCAGCGTGATTGGATGGTAATAGTAGATTATTGTATTAACTGTGTGTACCAGACTACCAGAGAAGTACCAGGGAGTGCAGAGGAGGGTCACAGACTGTCATGTGCTTAAGCAATTTTTGGGGGTCTTTCAAGGAATCAGCATAGAGATAAACTGCTTCAACAGTTCACATGTGGTGCGAAAAGGAGGGGACATTGGCCATTGTGCCACTCCTTTAATGAAAATTTACCTTATTGTCACGTCTGGAAATTTTTTTGCCAAAATGCCACGTCACAATCCCGCTGGTCTGACAAGCGGGATTGGACTGGACACGTGTCAGCGTCTGAATGGTTAATCATTCTCGCTGGGCTGCCCAGCTAGAATGACAGAATGCTGACACGTGGCAAAAGTTCAGACATCCAGAGAATGCCTGTACTTTTGTCACGTGTCAGCATTCTGTCATTCTAGCTGGGCAGCCCAGCGAGAATGGTTAACCATTCAGACGCTGACACGTGTCCAGTCCAATCCCGCTTGTCAGACCAGCGGGATTGTAACGTGGCATTTTGGCAAAAAAAATTTCAGACGTGGCATTCAGGTAAAATTTTGTCCAAAAAGTAGCAATATGGTCATTGTCCCCGAAAAGGATTTGTCTCATACCTTCGGACACACCTTGGGTGAAGCCATTATGTGTTGGGTTGGAAAATTGGATTTTCAGCACTGTCATTGTGCAAGTTGCTGTAAATTAAAAAGCTATTATAAATGCATCGTAACCAATATTAATAAGAGCAAAAAATATTAAAAAGTAAATAGAAAAATAATAAACCTCAACAAAATTTTCACTTGAATTGAGATCAAATCATTGAAATTCAGATAACAAAGCAACATCCCCGGAGGAAATGCACGTAACATAGTATTGTTGTGGGGCATATCAGTGGCTGAGTGAGCCCAACTCCTCAATTAAAGCATTCAAATCTAAGTTAGATGATCCTCCTTCTTCCACGGCCTTCCTAGCTAGCTGTGATAGCAATTTCGCTTTGTTCCTCATTTCCTCTGCTTCCTCCCCTTCCATTATCCTCTTCACAGCCTTCTCCACTGCCTCCCATTTAACAGTATCCCCCACCAATCTAACCCATTTTTTAGCTCCAACAGGTACACCAATTTCAAGCACCTCAGTGATCAACTTCTCATTGTAAAATTGCTCTGCACCCACAGGCCAAGTGACCATGGGTACCCCAGCACTCACTCCTTCCAATGTTGAATTCCATCCACAATGAGTCACAAACGCTCCAATTGATTCATGGTCAAGAATTAACACTTGAGGTGCCCAACCTCTTATAATTAGTCCCTTCCCTTCCATTCTCTTCTCAAATCCTTCAGGTAGCCATTCCTCTCTCTCTTCTCCATCTTTTTTGCTTTTCCTCACGACCCAAATGAATTGTTGACCTGAAGCCTCAAGACCCGTAGCAATGTCTCTGAGTTGAGAATCGGGAAATTTTGCCAGACTTCCAAAGCACAGGTAAACAACTGAACTGGGTTCCTTCATGTCAAGCCATTGTAGGCACTCATGCGCATCAATAGAAGCCTCTTTTCCTCTATGTGCTTTTTCTTCAGTATCTCTGTTGCAAAGAGAGAGTGGACCAATAAGCCATGCTTTTCTTCCAAGTGCATTCCTGTAATGTTCTGCATAAACTTTCTCAAGTTCGTAGAAGCTGTTAACAACCACCCCATAGCTCCTCATATCTGATTCAGTCATTTCCTCAAACAATCTAATGAAGCCTGTGCTCTCAGGATTCCTTTCAAAAGGTGGCAGCTGCAACCTTGTCATTTTAATCTCACCCGGAAGATTAGGAATGACAAAGGACTCTGAATCAGAAGAAACATTCTTGTAAGGCTCGTAGAGTCTCATAGATGCGGAAGCACACAAGGAGAACAAACTAGTCCCATGGAACACAATCCTAGGAATTCCGAATTTGGCAGCAGAATCAGTTACCCAAGGAAAGAACGTATCAGCAACAACACAGTGTGGATGTTGCTCAAGCAATAGTTGCTCAAGGGGTTCTTGTAGCAATCTAGTAGCCGCAAAGAAAGTGGGAACTAAATCTGGTGAAGGGATTGAGTCGGTATTCTCGCATCCTTCAGGTAAACCAGCTTCTACACAGGGAAGCTTGATTGTTTGTATTTGTATATGGATTCCGTTGCTAACAGTTTTGGATTTTCCAATGACTTTGGAGATGAAAGGTGCGTTGAGGGGAGTGGTGATGATGGTGGCCTTGACACCTTTTGCAGCAAATAATTTGGCCATGTCAATGGTTGGTATTATATGGCCATCAGCCAAGAAAGGGAAGAAGAATATGTGTAAATTATGAGATTCATCACTCATCTTTCTCACTAGTGAGCAAAGCAAATTTACAGAACTTTGCCCCACAAACTAGAACTTAGTAATAAGAAGGAAAAGATGAGGAATTGAAAGGGAATTGGCTATGGCTACTTTCCTACGCCTTGTTGAGAAGGTTAAGAATTTATAATAAAAGCAACGGGGAATCCACGTGACTCTGTTTCGATAGGAGACCTGATTCATTTTTGGCAACTGGTTTTCAGATTAAATATATTTTTTTCCGGCGGTTTAAAATTATACTATAGATAAATAAATATGATAGATCGATCCCATTACATAGAAAAAAATTAAAGTGGATCCATACTTTTTTTTGTCTTCTATAGCATAAAAGTAATATTTCACTTAATCAAATTCATGATATGAATCGGACATATTACGTTTGGGTTTTTGTAATTAATTGCTGGGAAGCTTCTAGATTGCGTTTTTCAAAGGTATTCTTTATTATGTATTCTTCACATTGATACCTTGGATGTTATTGTGTATTATTAATTATGTATTATTTAAATTATAACATAAAAAATATTATTAAAGTGAGAAAAAAAATGAAAATTCCTTTTAATAAAGTGATGAATGTAGAACTTTCCACAGTTATGATAGTGACTTAGAGACTTTTTACCAATATTATAAAGTCGGACCAACCAGGGTGAGTTCATAAAAAAATTAATTTATTTTTATTAATTGATATCTTTTTTTTTATATCTAAATATTTTGTTTTTTTAATATTTCAATAATCTGTTGTTTATTGAGTTACATAGATTATGTACCTACAACACTAATTAATATATTGGTTATGTAATATATAACAGGTATTTGAGTATATTTATAATTTTTTTGATACAAATTATAGATTTATATATACTTATCAGATGATACAATTGAATCAATAACTCGACCGAATCAATAACAGATTTGATAACATTGCTTTTTACACTCATGAGTCATGACAGTGGCCTTGAACTTGGTCTAACCATTTCTAACCTAAAAATTTACTTTAAAATCAAAAATTAAAAAAAAAAAATAGACAAATAAAAACTGTTTGAATGTCAGTTAAAATATACTATTATATTTAGTGCGCAAACAATTAAATGCATTGGGTATTAAAATACCTCTATGAAGCATATCTAGAAGCATATATTAAGCATTATTAGAGTAGATATTTTTTTACTAAATGTAAGAAACGATCAAATTCAAGTGACATTAATAATAAAGAAACAGTTAGAATAGATATGATTAAAAAAAAATTATTAACTTTGTTTAGTGATGCATTGAGTATTCAACAATACTAGCGGCGAGCGGAACTCAAATATTTTGCATTATGGTCAATCTGAGAGGAAACATCGCAACCAATGCGGTCAGTAACAAGACCTGCATTTGCGGCATTTGTGACTTTACACATCACTATCTCATCCTCTCACCACGTCTAGAGCAATTGATTGTTCGCGATCTGAATTGAATTAATTTTAAAGTAAAAATTATTTGATTTCATTCTTGAGGTTTGAATTTTTTTTAAAATATGATCTGATCAAATCTAATTTTATTTGGTTTGAATTGGATCGATTTTTAAATTTTTGAAATGTTCAAAATTTCAGTCATATAAAGTATTACTTATATCAAAATAAAGTCCTTCAAAATTATAAATTACCTAAAAATTCGAATCTTCAAATTAAAATAAGTCTTAAAACTCATGAATGAAGAGTTAAAATAGATTAACAGACAATAAAAAATTAAAACAAGATAGTTTGATATTAATAATATCTAAGATTCCAAGTCTACAAAATAATAAGATTCAAAGTTTTTATCTTTTAAAAATAATAAATACATAATACATTGAATCGATTTGGATTGGATCAGTTTTCAATTTGGATTAATTGGTGAAACCTGATCCAATCTAATTAAAATATGCAGATTTTTTTTTTCGATTATTAGTTTTTGAGTTCGATCACCGCGATTTAAATCGGTGGATGAACACTCTAATATGAACAATACGGAACACAAGAAATGAAATTGCAATGAGGTGACAAAGCAGGGGGCCTACCCGCCCTTTTATAAGCATGCCAAAAAATGAGCTGGCCCGTCCCGTCCCGTCCGATTTGGGAGGGCGGGCTGCCTGTGAGGCTGATAACATTTTTACACTAAAAACTTGTGGGGCTGATAACATTTGGGGTTTTATGTTTATTATTTTACATAACATAACTTTACTTTCCTACCCACACATTAAAGAGGTGGGGTCCGCATATTTTTATTTCTCTTTCATTATTCTATTTTCTCTCTCTATTATTGTGTGTGTTGAAAACCCACTTATATCATGTCACATAACATTAATAAAATCCTAACATTTTTACACTAAAAAAAAAAAGTTTTAGCCTGAGCGGACTTAGTGGATGACGGATTTAAAAAATTAAGTCCATCTTGCCCCATTTGACAACACGCGGCCGGATCCGGCGAACCAAGCTCATTTTATCATCTCTAATTACAACCCTCTTTTATTTATGATTTTTTCTAAGAGACAAACATGAAATACAGTTTAGAATTCATGAAAGAGAAAGGGAAATAAAATAAGTCCTGGGGGGTAAGAAGAAGGAATTGAAGAGTTCCAATTCTAAAGTATCAAAAGTGGGACTAGAGACATATAATATTAACCGCTAAATAATAATAAGAAGAAGAAGAAATGATTATTATTGCTAGTGAGTCGATTAGCCGTGCGAATTTAATAAGGGAAAATGTGTGTCATATTGAAGGATGTAAATTTGTGTCATTTTAAGTAATAGAAAGAGATAAATAAAGAAAGAGTGAATAAAAAATAAGGGAATGAAAACTCTCATATGAAAAAGTGATCATAAGATCATGTTATTTGATCACAACCATTCATTTAAAAATTATATATTTTTATCTCTCTTATCTCATCATCAATGAATAGTTGTGATCAAATAACATGATTATATTATCACTTTTTCACATAAAAAGATTCATTGTCAAAAAATAAAGATGTGAGTCTTACCTCATTGTAAGAGTGAAATGATATAAATTATATCATTTAATAATACAAACATTTTTCTCATTTAATAATTACGTAAAAAAATTTCGAGAGGCGATAAACACTTTTCAACAAAGAGCACATAACTGGTACTTGCAAATTGCAATGAATGGCGGGCATGGCGCATGAGTAGCGGGATCATTAAATCCATTGCGTCATGGCATGCGTAGAAGTGGTTGATCTTTTGTCTAGAAGAATAATAAATGAGCGGTCAGAAATGTTATACAATATTACAAATTTACAATGTGTGTTTACTGTTTATAAATGCGTTTGAAATTATTGTTTTTATTATTTTTGTTTTATAAAATTTAATTAATTTTATAAAACAAAAATAATAAAAATGAATTTTAATTGAAGTGATTTATATTTTAAAAATTTATTTTAAAACTAATATTTAATAAAATATAAAAAATAATATTTTTTAATTTTTTATTCTAAAATACATTTAAGATAACTTAATTTAAAAAATAAACATAACTTATTTTTAGTCAAATCACATTTCTAATCAGTAAATGTATGTTTGATGCAATTTACGCAAATCCAAACCAGCAATTAGTGGCTCATCTCAGACCTTAAATTTTGTTTATTTGAGTTTTATCTTTGGAAAAAATTAATTTTTAATTAAAAATATATTTAAAATTTGTATGATATTAAATAAATGCTTTAAAAAAACAGAGAAAAATGGTTTTACTTTATCTTTTAAAAGTCAAAAAGTAATTTAGTGAAGCCTCTGAATCGCACTATTTGAATGAAATCACCCTCTAAATTAAAAACATATATCATAGAAATTTTCTAAAATCTGTTCAAATTCAAATAATACAATAAAACTAGTTTATTCAAGTCAATGAATAAAATTATTTTACTTATTATAACATCTATTCTCTAAAAATTCTATACCGTTAATTTATTTTTGTCCGTGTGACCCAATGGTGGATCCAGGATTTTTCTCTTGGGGGGGAAATTTTGCAAGCTGCCAATTTTTTTTGCAAAAAGTCAGTGTTAAAATATAAAAAGCACCTTGATGCATACAACAAATCAAGTTTCAAAATTAAGCATTTGACTAAACTATTTTATGACATTAAACTCCTCAATTAGATTCCTCACATCCTGCACCAAGTTTGAGAAAGTTAATCACATACTCAGCCATACCAAATTTTAATAACAATATACAGGGAAAAAAGGCTAGTTACATACCAACAGAAGTTTATTTCCCTGAAAAGATGGAAAAAAACAATTTAAAAAATAAAATAAAATCAAAACTACATTTTGGTCAAGTATTCACATCCCAACAAATCAAGCACATGTGAGCCAGACTCGTGAATGCAAAAATGTAAAAATTTGACTCCATACTTAACGGAAAAAGCATAAAAACAAAGAAATTTGGTTTTTATGTAACACTTGACTTCTTTTTGTACATTGTAAAAATAATTTCAATAAAATCTCAAATTTAGCCAACCCAAAATAATTGAGCCAAGTTGCTAGACGATCAATGTGAAAAAGAAAAAAGAAAAAGAAAAACCATCATTTGCAGAAAGGCAACTGGGTGGGCTCTGATTTATTGTAATTTTTTCTTTTTCTTTTAATCCTATTTATATTCTCTTTACAAATCGAGTGACTTGTAACAACTAACGAGTAACCGATGAATATAGTACAGACAAGCTAGATGTAGTCTACGTTGAGTGAATCAGGATAAATCACCGTGTCAATTTTCTTTCTTTCTCTTTTCATTTGCAGTTTGTGTGTTGAGTAAATTGTCGATTTCCAACAAAGTCGTAGAGTCTATTCACCATCGCAATGTTCGTTTACACAATTTGTGAAAATTCCTAAATTAGATTACCTTTGCAGTGTTCACCATCGTAGTAAAAATTTCATTTCGTTCACATTCTATTGATGTTAATATGTATGATTTATTTTATTTTGATTTCATTCATTCACATCGCAATGATCTCATTCACCTTTGAGTTGAATCAACTCTCTTGAAATTTTCCTTCAGAACTTGGAAATATTGACCACATTGAAATACTGTAAGCCTTGGGTTTTAACTGTTATTAAGAGATACTATATTGTTTTTTTCCCCCATTTTATGGCTACTTAATTCATTTGTTTCATTTCAAAAACGGTAGTGGATATATTTATAGGGTTGAACGATCAACACCATGCCACACCTATAAAACCAAAGAGTTGTGTGGGCTTTCGAAAAAATTATAGGCATTGGTATTACTAAGAGAAATAATCAAGGAAAGTAGAGAATTCTTGTTTGAACGCGTAGTGAGTGTGGATGGGAGAAGAGGAAGGCCCTGCGGGCTTCGAATATTCTCTCTCTTTTATCTCCAAAAAAAAATATTCCCTCTCTTTTTTATGTAGCTTCAAGTTGGTTAAAGGACTCATCGGATTGCTTATAATGTTTTTAATTTAACTTTGGTTATTTTGATTTTGTGCTTTGACTTGTTTATATTGTTGATTTTAGTGGCTTTTTTGGGGCCATTTAGTGGCTGCTTCTTGACTTCTGCTTTGTGCTTTAAATGCAATGCTTGAGTGAGTTTTTATTCATTAGTTTGATTAGAACAATTTGACTTGTTAAAATTTAAGTCATTAATGATATTAGAAATATTATTGATGTTTGTCTGTGCTATTATTTGGTTGAATTTATGGGTTTAAATTGTTGTTAGTTTTGGAGTTGGTCTTAGAGTGTCACTGTGGATGAATAGTTTAGGATTAATTTATCTTGTCATTTATGTCTTGTTGGTGTTCTTTACTCCGTTGTGTGAATGAGATTTATTCCTAAATTGAGTATATATGTTATTTGAATTTCTTTCACTCTATGATCTTTTTGGGTGTGCATGACAATTATTCTATTCCTAGCATTGTTTCTGAAAAGAAACAATTCTTTTCTATTTCAGTTCCATGAAACAGTTTCTGAGAAAAAAAATGTGTTTGATAACATGTTCTATTTTTATTCCCAGAATGAGAATTGTTTGATAACACAACAAATAATATAATAAAAAATAATTCATATGAAATATAAAAAAATTCTGAATCATTACTTTCCTTTTCACATGGTGTGGTTGTGGTGGTGGTGGTGGCGGCGGCGGTATGGTAGGGTGGTGGCAGTGACGTGGTGAAGATAGTGGTGGTAGTTGTGACGACAGTGGATGATGGCGGTGATAATGGTGGTGGCGGCAGTGGTAGTGGAGGGGATGGTGGTGGTGGAGGTGAAGACAGTGATTGCGACAATGGTGATGAGTATGGTAGTTGGTGGCGGCAACAATGGTAGCAATGACATGATGGTGGTGGTTGGGAAGGCATCTTGGTGATGGTAGTGGCAGTGGTTGCAGTTGTGGCGGTGGTGGTAGGTGACAGTGGTGGTGGCAGTGGCAATGGCATGGTGATAGTAGTGGCGGGGGTGATGTAATGGTGGCGATGATGGTGGTGGTGACGGTAATGGCTGTGACGATGGTGGTGGTGATTGGTGGCGGCGGCAGCGGCTACGGCAATAGTAGTGGTGGTTGGTGACGTGGTGGTGATGGTAGTAATGGCGTGGTGGTGGTGGTAGTGATGGCGATGAGGGTGGTGATGGCAGTGGTTGTGATGATGGTGGTGGTGGTTGATGGCAGTAGTGGTGATGGTGGTGGCGGCGGCAGTTATGGTGGTGGTGATGGTGGAAGTTGTGGTGGTGAGGGGTGGTGACGACGACACTAGTGGTACGATGGTGGAGAGTGATTGAGAGGGATAAGGGTTTCTCATTTAGTGCCCGGGAACAAAAAAACAGAAATTTTTTGATTCTTTTTTCTGTTCCCCAGCACAAGAATTAAATCAGTTCATCTCGAGAACAAAAAAACAAATCGATTTTACCAAACGAGTTTCCTATCCAATTCTGTTCCTAGGAACAAAAATTAAAAAAGAATTGATTCCGGGAAGGTTGTCATGCACACCCTTGGTATTATCTTCAAGAATTCATTCTTCCAGTAGTGTAGTTTTTATGTGTTCATATCTCTTTTCCATTCATTGTATTATATTTACACGAAAATATGTGTTACCTTCTCTAATATGTTTAGAATGATATTGCACTAATGAGTAATATAAATTACCTTTGAAGTGTTATTATAAATTGTAATATGCTGACTGTGGTTTTAGTATGGGCTCTTTTCTTTGGTATCGTAGTATATTCGTTGATATGATAATGATCAATCAAGTTTGGGATTAAGGGATGTAATTCATACTGAATAATTCCTCCTTGGACCTTGATTGTAGAGGCTCGATTTATTGTCTCTGATCTTGATTGGATATTACTAGTTTTGTTCATCTTTATTTGTTCTCATTTTGTGAGTCCTAACATATTAATGTGTGCCCATATCTTGGCAAAAAAAAATTAATTAATTGCAATTTAAATAAAAAATTATGAATTTATTGCTAGTTTGAAACTATTTACACGCGTATTGCAGTGTGTCACGCCTAAGCTGAGCGTGACCCATAAGACACTCACGCCTAAACAAGGCGTGACCACTCACGCCTGAAAAAGCATAACCCAAAAATCACTCATGCCTCTAAATGGCGTGACCTTGTTAATTGAAAAACAAAGCAAAAACCAGTCGCCATTGTTATTTGAATAATTCATCCAATGGAGGGTTGGTGCTCATTCATCCGAGAAGAAATTGCAGGCATTTGGTTTGCCCAAGAATGAAGGAGAAACCACATGAGAAAATTAAGAGAGACTACAGAGGATAGAAGAAAAGGAATAGAAACACAGTTAATTCACCCTTTTTTTTCTGATTTCTATTACATAGCATAGAAGAAATTACATAACAACTAATCTATTTAAATTATAAAACATATGCACCATAAAACTAGCATAAATAACTACTCCTAAAATTTAAAATATTAATATAATACTTCAAATATGGTACTTCTGCTACAAAGAACTTGGGTTGTAACCAAGACAAGTAGTCGTTTGATTCCAAAACCGTCGAGCAAGATGGAAAACCAAGTAATTGGAAAGAGATTACGGTGTTCTCAAAGCCAACTATGAAGCTCTTAAGCTTAACCATGACACCTTCAAACAGGACAACGAAGCCTTACACAAAGAGGTAGACTTCTATATAGAACAATTTACAATCCACAATCCATTCTCCTGAAACATCAATTCCTTGGAGGAACACTTGAATTATGATTATTGCTTCAACAACAACAATGTTGTCGGAGCCACTTCACTCTTCCCAGTAGATTTCAAAGACAATTTTTCTGATAGTGACTCAAGCGCAATGTTGAACAAAGATAACAGCCCCAAAGCCACCGTTTCTTCATCTGGGGTTCTTCAAAGTTCAAAGTCACCGCCTTTTGTTGTCACCTGAGCCTTCTTCAATGCGGATGAAGCCTGCAATTTCTTCTCGGATGAACAAGCATCGACCCTCCATTGGTATAATTATTCAAATAATGATGGCTACTATTTTTCGTTTTGGTTTTTAATTAACTAGGTCACGCCTTTTACAGGTGTGAGTGGTGTTTGGGTCACGCCTTTTATAGGTGTGAGTGGTGTTTAGGTCACGCTTTTTCAGGTGAGTGGTCACGTCTTGTTTAGGCGTGAATGCCTCATGGGTCACGCTCAACTTAGGCATGACACACTGCAATACGCGCGTAAATAGTATTAAAACAACAATAAATTCGTAATTTTTGTATTTAAATTGCAATTAATTAATTCCCCCCCCCCCCCCCCCCCGGTTTTGTTACTATCTAGTGAGTGTATGGGCAAAAGCACCATATTGCTAATATTAAGCCAAAATATCTCCTGTTCAAAGCACATGTGAAATGTTTTGCCAAAGTAGAGCATTAAGTCCCGTCACTTTACTTGACGCATTCAGTTTCATCAATATTGTTGACGGGATTTGTTTCCACGTTAGCAATCTGCACCAATTTTGTGCCATGTGTCAAATGTTCGTTGAGTCTTGTCACAATAGTTGACGGGATTAAAAAAACTAATGTCACGTCATCCATTCTTGTCAACATAGTTAACGTGACCGAATTAGTATACTAAGTAATTCAGTTTACTATACTAATTCCTTATTTCATCACGTCATATCTAATCATTTCTATACTAATTTCTTCTTTCATAATTCAGTTTACCAAAAAAACAAAAAAAAAAACATTTTCATAAATTATATTTATTATTTAGCCTAAACACTAATTACAAGTACTACGTAATTATTTCATTACTAATTAAGACACAAGTTTGTGATTCAGTTTTCATCAATTTTCATCAAGGAGTTAAACAAATGCACGTAAGACTCTAGACTATTTGAATTTAACTCGAATCATTGAAATTCAGATAATAAAGCAACATGTTATGAAGGATATGCACATAACATATAATATGAATAGCATTTTTGCTGGGTTATATCAGTGACTCAAGGAACCCAACTCCTCAATTAAAGCATTCAAATCTGAGTATGATGATCCACCTCCTTCCACGGTCCGCCTAGCAAGCTGTGAGAGCAATTTCGCTTTGTTCCTCATTTTCTCGGCATTTTCCCCTTCCATTATCCTTTTCACAGCCTTCTCCACCGCATCCCATTTAATAGTATCCCCAACCATTCCTACCCATTTTTTAGCTCCAACAGGTACCCCAATTTTAAGGACCTCAGTGACCAGCTTCTCATTGTAATATTGCTCTGCAAACACAGGCCAAGTGACCATAGGTACCCCAGCACTCACTCCTTCCAATGTTGAATTCCATCCACAATGAGTCACAAATGCTCCAATTGATTCATGGTCAAGAATTAACACTTGAGGTGCCCAACCTCTTATAATTAGTCCCTTCCCTTCCATTCTCTTCTCAAATCCTTCAGGTAGCCATTCCTCTCTCTCTTCTCCATCTTTTTTGCTTTTCCTCACGACCCAAATGAATTGTTGACCTGAAGCCTCAAGACCCGTAGCAATGTCTCTGAGTTGAGAATCGGGAAATTTTACCACACTTCCAAAGCATACGTAAACAACTGAATTGGGTTTCTTCATGTCAAGCCATTGTAGGCACTCATGCGCATCAATAGACAGCTCCTTTCCTCTATGTGCTTTCTCTTCTGTATCTCTGTTGCAAAGAGACAGCGGACCAATGTGCCATGCTTTTCTTCCAAATACCTTCCTGTAATGATCTGCATATACCTCCTCAAGTTCATAGAAGCTGTTAACAACCACCCCATAGCACCTAAAATCCGATTCCTGGGCTTCCTCCAACAATCTGGGAAAGCCTGTGGTGCTCCCAGGTTTCTTTGCTAAAGGTAGCACCTGCATCCTTGTCATTTTAATCTCACCCGGAAGATTAGGAAGGACAAAGGATTCTGAATCAGAAGAAACATTATTGTAAGGCTCGTAAAGTCTCATACTTGCCATAGCACACAAGGAAAAGAAACTAGTCCCGTGGAACACAAGCCTAGGAATTCCAAATTTGGCAGCAGAATCAGTTGCCCACGGGAAAAACATATCAGCAACAACACAATTTGGATGCTGCTGAAGCAATAGTTGCTCGAGGGGCTCTTGTAGCAATCTAGTAGCCACATAGAAGGAATGAAGTAAATCTGATGAAGGGAGTGAGTCAAAATTTTCGCAACCCTTAGGTAAACCAGCTTCTGCACAGGGGAACTCAATGGTTTGGATATGAATCCCGTTGCTAACGGTTTTGGATTTTCCAATGACTTTGGAGATGAAAGGTGCGTTGAGGGGAGTGGTGATTATGGTGGCCTTGACACCTTTTGCTGCAAATAATTTGGCCATGTCAATGGTTGGTATTATATGGCCATCAGCCAAGAAAGGGAAGAAGAATATGTGTAAATTATGAGATTCGTCACTCATCTTTTTTCACTAAAACTGAACAAGAAGGAAAAGTGCAGGAAGAGAGAGTGCTTCCGGTATGGCTACCTACTTGCATATTAGCATATGGCTTGAGAAGGAGAAGAATTCATGATAAAAAGGAACGGAATCCGGAGGTTATAGCTAACTCGTACTCCTGAAGTTAGACTCGGCAAAACGGCTCAGCTTACTAACTCGTTAGATAGGGCGGGCTGACCTGAGTTTTTTAACTCATCTCACAAGTGAAGTGAGCTCATTTTTTGACAAGTTGATGACTGGCATAAGCGGGTCGAGGCAAATCACTATAAAATAGGTTTAGACTGGTGGGTCAATCCACCCAACCTGCCAAACGGGGCGGGGCGAGACGAACTGAGTTTTTGAGCCTTTTTTCGAAAAATGAGGCAGAGCGGACTGACTCATTCTTTGACGGGTTGATGGCGGGCCACCCATTTTGTCACATCTACCTGCAGTACAAAAATAGAAAAAAAAACATTTTAACTCGTGTTTTTTTTATATAATTACTTTTTTTTTTTTTGTAAATTTTATATAATTACTTTTGAATGCTAAAAAACTTTAGAGCAAAGTTTTAGGAAAAAACAAATATTATATTGTAAGAAAATTTTATAGGTCATGTTACATAGATAACCAATTGTTATGTTTTTAAAATAAAAGAAAAATAAAAAAATTGATAGAGCAACTTTTATATTTGTAAAGAAAAATTGTTTGTGCCAAAGAAATCATTACGCAAAGTTTTAATGGAACATCTATCAAAATGTCACTGTTCATCAAGTTTTTTATCTAAATGTCACGTCAACAGTGTTATTTTCCAATTTGCCACGGGGGCAAGTTCGCTATCCGGTGTAGCGAACTCGGTTTGCTGACATGTCACATTTCTAATAGATAACAAGTACCAAGTTAAAAAAATAATATGAAGTTCGCTACATTGGGTCCGTGTAGCGAACTTGGTGTCCACTAGAAACGTGATACGTCAGCAAACCGAATTCGCTATACCGGGTAGCGAACTTGTTTTCGTGACAGATTAAAAAATAACACTATTCGTTGCGATATTTAGATAAAAAAATTGCTAAAAAGTGACATTTTGATCACTATTTCAATTTTAATATGGACGTAGTTACGGCAATTTCACCAAAGTTTTACAGCAATTGCACCAAAGTTTTCTCCACCGAAAGAGCACCTACAAATTTCTAGTCACGAGTGTTGTACTTCCTCACTGACATAGCTAGAGGGAGCAGTCACTGCCGCACATGAACAGTTGAAATCCATTGCGTCATTCTATGCGTAGAAGTTCGTTGTCCCCTCTGTGTAGAAGGATAATAAATGAGCGGTGAGATATGTTATAAATTTTGTGTTTAGATATACGTTTCAAATTTTTATCCAAAAAAAAGTATTCTTCTCAAATTATGATTTCAGGTTATTTTCTTTTTTATAAAATTAAACTTAGTCACTAAATTAGAGTTATTTTAAGGTATAAGAAGAGAAAAAAAATTAAACTCTTATCTCTTTATTATTTTATTTTATATCTTATATTTTAGCTCTATACTAGCCATCAAATAAATAACAATGTAAAAAAATTATTTGGCAACTCAATTATTTGTGTTGTACTGTTTGTGCTGTTCCTTCATTTTCGTCAAATGCAATCTGTGGATGAAAATCATTGTTAAATGTTCTTTGAATAAATATCATTTTTGATCATCATCAAATTTTATGATATCGCTTTAATCTCTAACAAATAAAAAGACTATTTGTGATTGTTAAGAAATTCAAAATGGTCTCATTTAGTTGAAATCGTGATCCCTCACAAATTAGAAAAAGACCTACGTTAGTCCCTCAAAAGGACTAAAATGGGTCCACTTTGAATTTCTTAAGAATCACGAATAGCCTTTTTATTTGTTAGAAACTAAAGCGGGTATCGTAAAATTTGCTGAGAACCGAAAATGATATTTATTCATGTTCTTTTAAAAAAAAGTTAATTTTTTTTGGTAAACAAATAAGTTCATTTCAAATTAAATAAAGTAGAACCTATTTTTTTAATTGAAATACATTACAATCTTAATTTATTGAAATTATAAAAAAAAATGTAACTTAATTTTTTTTTTTTTTTTTATAACAAAATGTAACTTAATTTACATATAACGTTAATAGTGTTTTTTTTAATGGAGTGGGTATCCAATCAATTCTTTCCAATTCGGTCCGCAGGCTAGTTTTTTTAATTTACATATAATACTAGATCTGTTTGTTTCGGTCTTTAAAATATGTTGGATTTTCGGGTATCTACATAACCCAGATCTTTATTTCAGTCTTGTTATAGACTCATATATGAGGCTCATATATTGATAAGTTCAACAAGAGACAATCTAAATATAAATAAGATATAATTAAGAAAAGATATTTATCAAGGATATCAATCCTAATACGATAGCATAATATATGGGCATGGGCCGTTATCAGAAGCACTGAAGGTACATAATCCAATACTCACATATAAACTTTATAAATAAAAGGTAAAGTCTACAAGTACGTTATGTTCTCTCTCTCTTAATGTTATGTTGTCACTGTACACACACCTTTAGCAAAGTTGTTTATTGTTCTTCTGTGCATAGTGATATGCTTGACTCAATGGCATCTAATCTATAGGTACCTTAGAGAGGGCACCTAGATCTAAAAATAACATACTAGCTCTATTGGGTTAGACATCTCTGTCAGTAAGACAGAACATTGGCGTCGTCTGTGGGGAATGTTAAACTCGTTAATCCCACGATCACGATATACAATGGCGGTTCTTACAAGAAGTAGCAGTCAACAGCCACTACATCTAAATCTTCCACTGGATCCTATGGTGGAAGAAGTAGACCAACCTCAGAATCAGTATCAACCAGAGAATAAGGTTGATTATAATGATGTTCACGTAAGCGAGGACGTCTCGGACACAGCCTCAACACCAGCTCCTCAAATTCGAGTTGTAGATCCTCCCCTAATCTTGCAGATGCAGCTTGACACGTTGCACTTGCTGTAGATCCAGATATCCCCCTTGCCTAGAATGCATTTTCTGCGATCATTAGGCGTAGGGTTGGCAAAAATGAGCCAACCCGTCGGGATATGCTGAAGTGGGATATGTTGGATTCCACAAAACATCAGAAGCTGAAGATTGTGAGCAACAAAAATGAGGTCATCACCATTCAGGGGGATCAAGAAGAATTACAACAATATTATTTTAAAGTTGTCAAAGAAAATAAAGGTGGACACTTGAGTCCACCCCGAATTCGTCCAGGAGATAAAGCCGGGAAGAAAATAACCTTTCAACACTCAACCAAACCAGTTAATATGGTTGAGTTGGATATGAGAGAAGAAGTTGTTATTCCAAGACCAGAGCTAGATGGTGAACTGGAAGACCTTATCCTGAGAATGAACTGGTCAATTTTCCAAAATTGGTAAGACCATCAACTCCGGTGTTAAAGCCGAGTTGGTGGAATTTCTGAAGAATAACAAGGATGTCTTCGCGCGAAAATCATCTGAGATCCCAAGTATTTATCCCAAATTTTGTTGTCACAAGCTGGCAATCTATCCCGGATCAACACGAGTTGCACAAAAGAAAAGGAAGCTGAGACCTTAAAGAAGACAAGTTTTTGAGGAACATATGAATGAATTGCTCGATGTCGGGTTCATAAGAGAAATCCAATATACTACATGGCTTGCTAATGTAGTCATTGTGAAGAAACCCGGTGGGAAGTGGAAGGGTTTGTACGGATTACACTGACATCAATAAGGAGTGTCCAAAGGACTTGTATCCAATGTCCAACATAGACCAGTTGGTAGATAACTTAGCCGGGTTCCAGTTATTATCCTTCATGGATGCATATTCCGGTTACAATCAAATTCTTATGTATCCGGAAGATCAAGAAAAAACAGCTTTTATTGTAGAAAAGGCCAATTATTGTTACAAAGTAATGCCTTTTGGGCTCAAAAATTTAGGAGCCACTTATCAAATAATGATGAATAAAGTGTTTGAAGACAATTCGACAAGAACGTGGAAGTCTACATAGATGACATGATTGTTAAGTCATTAGATGTGGCAAGTCATGTACGAGATTTGGAGAAGACATTTCAGAAGCTCAAAGCTCATCGCATCCGGTTAAACTCGGTTAAATGCGCATTTAGAGTCCCGACTGGAAAATTCTTGGTTTTATGTTATCCCTCAGAGGAGTTGAAGCGAATCCAGATAAGTTCGGAGCTGTGTTAGACATGAAGACCCCCAAAAGCAAGAAAAAAGTTCAACAACTGACGGGTAGGTTAGTCGCATTAACCAGATTCTTACCAAAGTCAGCTGAAAATGCCCTCCCATTATTCAAATTATTGAAGAAAGAAGCTGAGCATGGATGAAACTCGGATTGTGAATCCACGTTCAAAAAAATAAAGAAACGTTTGGCATCACCACCAGTGTTGTCGAAGCCAGAACCAAGAGAAATCCTAATCTTATATCTGGTTGTTGGAGAAGAAGAACCTATAAGCGCCATGTTGGTGAAAGAAACAAATAAAGGCCACAAGCCAATATATTTTGTTAGCAAGGATTTTAAGGGTCCTGAACTGAGATATCAAAAGCTAGAAAAGGTGGCATTTGCCTTACTCACCACGGCAAGAAGATTAAGGCCATATTTGTAGGGACATCAAATAATGGTCAGAACTAACCAACCAATATGGCAAGTGCTCCATTAGCCGAATATGGCTGGAAGGATGACTAATTGGGCAATAGAGCTCTTTGAATATGACATAACATATGAAACTCGGCATGCCATTAAATCTCAAGCTTTGGTCGAGTTCGTAATGGAGCTCACCCCGACAGATGCAGGAATCACAGAGAAAAATTACTTCTGGAATGTCTATGTCGATGGTTCATCAAACAACAAAGGGAGTGGAGTTGGGATAATAGTTGAAAGCTTATAGGGTGTTTCAATAGAGCACTCCCTACATTTGAATTTTCTAACTTCAAACAATCAAGCAGATTATTAGGCCCTGATAACTAGACTGATGCAGGTAAGAGAACATGGGGCTAAAAAAGTGAAAGTTTTTAGTGATTCTCAACCTGTCACTTCACAAATTGATGGCAAATATCAAGTCAAAGGTCCTCTGCTGATGAAATATTTGAACAGAGTCAAAGAGATTATGACTGAATTTGAGAAAGTGGTAATCACCCATATTCCTCGAGTAGAGAACATCAGAGCCGACATCTTGTCCAGATTGGCAAGTACTAAGAACCCGGGTAACCACAAAATCGTGGTTCAACAGAGCATAGCAGAGTTGCATGATGGTAATTACATCGGCAGAAGATTGGAGTCAGCCAATTATTACCTACCTTGAAAGAGGAACACTGCCAAAAAATTCAATGGAATCTAAAAAATTGATCCGAGATGCGGCACTATACGCCATCTTGAAGGACCAACTATATATAAAGGGGTTGCACTCCCCAATGCTGAAGTGCTTGAACTCAGAAGAAGCTGAGTATGTTTTGGCCGAGATACATGAAGGAATTAATGGCCAACATATGGGAGCTAAAGCCCTAGCCAGAAAAGAGTGGTATTATTGGCCCACCATGGAAGGTGATGCAAAAGATCATGTGAAAAAATGCAGCAACTGCTAGAAACATGCTAGGCAGATATTTTCACCTCCAGAAGAATTGAAATATATATCGGCTCCATGGATCTTTTACAAATGGGGAATGGATTTGCTGGGAGTTGGTAGTTAAAATCTCGATTTAAATCTGCGATTTTACGATTTTTTTTAATCAAAACTGATTTCATCAAAATTCCAAATTCTTTTACGATTTTTTATCCTTTTTCCGATTTTAGGTAAAATCCCAATTTTAACTACCATGGCTGGGACCATTCAAGATTGCTGAAGGACACTGAAATGGATAATTGTAGTTGTTGATTACTTCACAAAGTGGATAAAAGCTGAACCCGACATTACTATAACCTTGGCTGGAGTTCAAAGATTCTTTGAAAGAAATATTGTTTCCAGGTTTGAAATACTAGTCGAGATAGTGACCGATAATGGAACCCAATTCACTGATAAGATGTTCCAAGAATTAATGGTGGACTTAAAGATTCATCACCATTTTGCATCTGTAGAACATCCCCAATCAAATGGGCAAGCTGAAGCTGCAAACAAAGTAATTGTGGATGAATTGAGAAAATGAATGGAAGATGCTAAGAATAGCTGGGTTCATCAGCTATACTTTGTTTTATGGTGGTACAGAACAAGTCTCCAAATAGCAACCGGAGAAACTCTATTCAGACTTACTTATGGATGTGAGGCTATGATACCGGTTGAGATAGGAGAACTTTCTTGGAAGAGAATGAACAATATCAAACAGAAAGAAGAAGAAAATAATAAAGTTCTTGCAGCCGAGCTAGACCTTATAGACGATGTCAGAGTCACGACACATTGCCGAGATATGGAAACCAAGCAATTTGTAGCAGCCAGATATAATAGAAAAGTAAGGTCAAGGACATTTGAAAAAGATGACCTGGTACTTAGAAGAACAGACATTGGCAACAAGAATTCTAGAGATGGAAAGGTGATTGCAAACTGGGAAAGCCCTTACCGGGTTAAAGAGAAACTCGGAAGAGGGGCTTATGTCTTCGAAACAATAGAAGTAAAGCCTATCAAAAGAACATGGAACGCGGATAAACTGAAAATGTATTACAGTTAAATCTAAGTTCCATGGGTTGACTATTTTTAATATTCTTTCAATTTCTAGGCGAATTAGTTTTGCTTTATATAGGTTGTATAGAGTCGACTATATCGACAAGTTCATGTAATTTGTATTTTTGATATCAATAAATGAGGAATTTTTCGTTTCAAAATTTGTCCTTATATGATTATAATGCATCAACATATATATGTAAATTCGAGATACAAGTGTGATTTGTCATGCTGACTCTGATCAAGTTGAAATATTGCCTTTACCTTGGATAAAAACCTGATAGTAAGACCTAGGTTATGATTGAAGGAAACAATATTTACCTTCATCGATAGTAACTTGGCATCACACTAAGTTAAAATATTAAAAGCGTCATGGAAAAGAATACATGACAATGAAAAATGCGGAATCCGTACAATATATTTTGACCCCAGCCAGGTCAAATACATAGTACTCGAGATGCATATCCGAGTTAATAGATATAGTGATATAATTCATCTCAGATGGAGAAAATCTTGATGAGGTTTGAAATACTTGAAAATATATCTAAGTTATCAAACAAACCTAACGAATAGGTATGCAAAACCTCATTATCAACACAGGTAGAATAAAACTAACTAAACTAATTAAATTATAAAAATAATATAGAAAATATAAAGGATTCACATTAGGTCCGTGATCCCAACTACAAAAAGAAAACTAGCCAGACATATCTGACTTTAACAAATCAAAATAGTAAAAAGAATTCATAATAAAGAAAGAAAAGAAAAAGATGAAGAAGAAAGATCAATGGTCTTCAATCTTCAACTCCGTCGGAATCCTGATCTCCAGCGTGAGTCTCCTCCTCTGAATATTGTTGCCTCTATCGAATTATCTTTGTGTTTCCAAAAGATGCCTTTTTATAGGGATGAAAATCATATCTTTTAATTTTCCATCATATCTTCAATGGAATCTTCGCTATAATCTCTAAACATATATTCGATTCAATACTTCAAATCTTTTCCTTCTTAATTAATGGAAAAATTTTCTTAAAAATATTCAATGAAGATTTGATAAGATCTTAATGATTCAGAAATCTAAAGCAATCTACTTGATCTCTCCAATTTATCTCTTTATTGAGCTGAATTTACTGTAAAATATCAAAAATCTTATGAGAATATTATTGAGAATAAAATAACAATTTAATTATAATTTTCATAACTTTTAAATCAATTTCATGCTCATATTGACCCTTAATACATATTAAATTAGAGACTCATCAATAATCATACACCTATCGTTGCTGTACATAAAGCGGTTGCAGAAATGATTTTACCTATATATATATATATATATATATATATATATATATATATATATATATATATAGGTCAGGATCATTGTACACCAGTGTTAAGTTACACTCTCAATCTTGACCATTGATCCCACTTATATCCAAAGACTCTAATTTTTTAATAATATGAGCCATTGGATACAAGTGAATCAATGATCAAGATTGTATGTAAGATTTCTAACTCTTACATTAATATAAGAATATCCTGCCCCTATAAATATATATATATATGGAAAATTTTATCATACGATGATAGAGAATAATTATATCTGATTTGTGCTATACCTCACTGCATACATGAGGATATACTCCACATCAATTGGACATATTGGAGGTAGAGCACATAAATGCAGAGTATTTTTATGGATATATCAGTGCCTGAGCGAGCCCAACTCCTCAATTAAAGCATTCAAATCTGAGTTAGATGATCCTCCTTCTTCCACAGCCCGCCTAGCTAGCTGTGAAAGCAATTTCGCTTTGTTCCTCAGTTCCTCTGCTTCCTCCCCTTCCATTATCCTCTTCACAGACTTCTCCACTGCCTCCCATTTAATAGTATCCCCCACCAATCTGACCCATTTTTTTGCTCCAACAGGTACACCAATTTTAAGTACCTCAGTCACCAACTTCTCATTGTAAAATTCTGCACCCACGGGCCAAGTGACCATTGGTACCCCAGCACTCACTCCTTCCAAAGTTGAATTCCATCCACAATGAGTCACAAACGCTCCAATTGCTTCATGGTCAAGAATTAACACTTGAGGTGCCCATCCTCTTATAATTAGTCCCTTCCCTTCCATTCTCTTCTCAAATCCTTCAGGTAGCCATTCCTCTCTCTCTTCTCCATCTTTTTTGCTTTTCCTCACGACCCATATGAATTGTTGACCTGAAGCCTCAAGACCCGTAGCAATGTCTCTGAGTTGAGAATCAGGAAATTTTACCAGACTTCCAAAGCACAGGTAAACAACTGAACTGGGTTCCTTCATGTCAAGCCATTTTAGGCACTCATGTGCATTGATAGATACCTCTTTTCCTCTATGTGTTTTTTCTTCAATATCTGTGTTGCTAAAAGACAGTGGACCAATATGCCATGTTTTTCTTCCAAGCACCTTCCTGTAATGATCTGCATATACCTCCTCAAGTTCATAGAAGCTGTTAACAACCACCCCATAGCACCTCATCTCTGACTCCTTCATTTCCTCCAACAATCTGGTGAAGCCTGTCCTCTCGGGATTCATTTCAAAAGGTGGCATCTGCAATCTTGTCATTTTAATCTTACCCGGAAGATTAGTAAGGACAAATGATTATGAATCAGAAGAAACATTATTGTAAGGCTCGTAAAGTCTCATACATGCCATAGCACACAAGGAGAAGAAACTAGTCTCGTGGAACACAAGCCTAGGAATTCCAAATTTGGCAGCAGAATCAGTTGCCCACAGGAAAAACATATCAGCAACAACACAATTTGGATGCTGCTGAAGCAATATTTGCTCGAGGGGCTCTTGTAGCAATCTAGTAGCCACATAGAAGGAATGAAGTAAATCTGGCGAAGGGATTGAGTCAATATTTTCGCACCCTTTAGGTAAACCAGCCTCTGCACAGGGGAACTCAATGGTTTGGATATGAATCCCGTTGCTAATGGTTTTGGATTTTCCAATGACTTTGGAGATGAAAGATGCGTTGAGGGGAGTGGTGATTATGGTGGCCTTGACACCCTTTGAAGCAAATAATTTGGCCATGTCAACGGTTGGTATTATATGGCCATCAGCCAAGAAAGGGAAGAAGAATATGTGTAAACTGTGATATTCATCACCCATCTTTTTTCACTAAAACTGAACAAACAAACTTATAGAGTTTTGCCCCCCAAACTGGAACTTAGTAAGTAATAAGAAGGAAAAGAGATGGAAGGAGAGAGGGACACTAGCCTAATGCCTATGGCATGAGAAGGTTAAGAATTTATAATTAATAAAAGGAATGGAATCTGTGGTAATGATTATACTTCGAAGGGAAATCTGATTCGTTATTCTCATCTGTATTCTAGATTACGTTTTTAACAACTCAATTATATTTCACTTAAATCTATTACTAAATAGTACTTGAGCGAAAATGAAAACCCGTTTTAATAAAGTGATATACCGCAAGGAGCGCTCACCTGCAAATTTCTAGTCACGAGTGTTGTAATTTCCTCAGAGACTTCGCGGAGAATATTTTTAGTGCACGTTACCTTCGGTGGAATTGCTACCACATGGCCATTCTTCTTAGCAAGAATTATTGCAGTAGGAGAATTTGAAAAGCATTATGTCATTAAGATTTTCAAGGCTTAGCTAAGGCTTAGCTCAAGACCCCACTACCCCATATGAATAAATAATTTTTTTTTAATCACTGTCTTATTTTTATCAAATCATTAATACATAATTTATTTTAAAATTAGATAAGAAAATAATTTGATAAAAAATAAAATACCTGTCACATTATGAGTGAAAGATGCATCAAATTTTTGGTGCATCCATAGAACTAATGAAATTTTCGACATTGCGATTGCGAGGAGGAGCAGTAAAAAATTTCATTTATAATATGATATGTATTTTATTTTTTTCAAATTATTAATAAATAATTTATTTTAAAATCAGATAAAAAAAATTAATTTAATAAAAAAATAAAATACATATTATATTATAAATGAAAGATGTACCAAAATGTGAGTGTACCCATGTAGCACTGAAGGTGTTCTCGGAGCAGTCACTGATGCACATGCATACACTGATTTGGGGAATTGGGCTGGTCTCTTTTTTTTTTTTTCCTCTCTTCTCTTCTCTCCTTTTTCTCTTTCTACTTTTTTTCTTTCTCGAGACCAATGGGCCGGGAGTTGTGCATTTTCTCTCCTGATTTGGAATATATAGCGTGTCATTGTATGCGTAGAAGTCGTTGACGCTTTTGTGTTGAAGGATAATAAATGAGTGGTCAGATATATTATAAATTGTGTGTTTGGATATACGTTTCAAATTATGATTTTAGATTATTTTTATTTTATGAAATTAAATTTAGTTAGTCACTAAATTAGATTTGTTTTAAGATATAAGAAGGGTGAAAATTAATAACCTTATATCATTATTATTTTAATTTATATCGTAAATTATTTAGCTCTGTACTACCCATCAAATAAGTAACTATATAACCCAATGGGTGTAGCTCAGTTGGTAATTTGACGCTGAGTTAGTGGGATTGGATATGTGTTCGATTCCCGCTGAATGCATTCTTGGGGTGGGGGCTGAACCTTTAGCCATCATTGTTCCTCCGCACTCCGGATTAGTCCCATAGCCGGCTCAAAGAGTCGAAGCTCGTGGGGATACCGGAGGGAGCCAACTCGTCTCAAATAGATAATTAGGGTTGTGTAACTCCAAAAAAAAAAAAATAAGTAACTATATACAAAATTATCTCGCAGCTTAATTATTTGTGTGGCTAAAAAAATTAAACATTGTAATTTTTATAAATGATTACAGAATTAATCTCATTTGCAAAGTATTTACCAAACTAATGCAACTAATTGTGCATTTGCCCCGAATATGTGTCAAAACATATGTGCAACTAACTAGATGCATCCACCTGTCGCAATCTACACCGTACATTTCAATTATCACTTCCTCTTTCTCTTATATAAGCCTCTCTCCTTTAAACATTTTCCATAACCTTTTTCCATTTCTCTTTCTGCATATACTCTCTTTTCTTCAAACTTTTCTATTTTGTTATTTTTCTATAGGGTAATACTTCTCTTGCATAAGAGAAGTATTATCTCATACTCAAACAATAGTTAAGAGAGAGAAAAAAGTTGAAGATGAGAAAGAAAAAAATCTTGTGGAGTCTATTTGAAAAATGTGAGTGTAAGAGATAATAATTTTTTTATGTAACATAAGAAAAGTAATTCTCTTTTCTATATATATTAAAAGAATTTTATGTTTGTTATATTACATGATGTAACATAACTTTTATACACACAATTGAGAAGAGAGAAGAGAGAGGAGAGAAAAGAAAGGAGAGAAAAATTAAGGAATGAAACCCACATAAAATTATGTGTGTAGAAAAATTATGTTACATTATGTAACGTAACAAACATAAAACCCATATTAAAAAATGAGTTCAAATTCAAATTTTGCTTGTGTGATTGTCTACTATAACTAGAGGTGGCAAAGCGGGTTGCCCGCCCCGCCCCGCCCCAGCCCGCCAAAAAGCGGCCTGGCCCGCCCCGCCATTGAAGGTGGGCTACATATCTCAGCCCGCCCCGCCCCGTTTGGGCGGGCAGGGCGGCCAAGCCCGTCACATTTTACACTAAAAATTAAAAATTAAAAATAAAAAATCAGCCCGGGCGGGCTGGCGGGGCGGGCTTGACGGGCAGCGATTTTAGAAAACTCAGCCTGCCCCGCCCCGTTTGGCGGGCGGGGCGGGCCGGCTCGGCGGGCTCAGCCCATTTTGCCAGCTCTAACTATAACAGTAAGAAATTCAAAGGTCGGAGGTGGGATCATTTTTAGGGGCGAGAAAATGTCAACACAAATTAAACGCATCATAACGATTGAAGAATTGCATCAAGGTAACCAGTTTATTTTCCAATTGACACCTAGATCCTATTATAATGATGAATACATTGGTCTATGAGATGCACATGGGAATGGATGTAATCTTTGAATAGTTAACAAAAATATTTTTTAGAGTTATATGAGGATATTTGTGAAGCAAAAGATTTTGCATCACCTATTTGGTCACTAGCTCTCAATTCACCATATGTTGCATTATCATTTGCTCCTCCAATAGTTAATAGAATGACCACATTTGATGAAGATGAAGATAACTCTACTTGGATAATGGATAAGATGACAACAACAATGATGAAAATATAACAATTAAAGATGATAGCTTTCTTGCCAAGGATGCTAGTGCTTTAGATAGTGATGTATATCATGCTTTGGGTGGTACTCAAATCCTACAAAAGATGCAACCTCCTGTTCAAAGCCTTCATCAAGCTTATGAATATGAGTTCCTAAACTCCAAGCTTATAAAATTTTATTAACAAAATAATTGGTACAATTCAATACAATAAATATATATTAATCTAAAAGGATAGGTTATTCTTCCTACTCTTATTTTGTCTATCTTTATCTACCCCTTTCAATATCGTTAGATTACAATCTCATCCAATGGTGGAGATTTACAATATAAAATAAATTCTTTTACCCCTTTCTCTCTCTCCCCCACTGCCTTATGTTATGGAGCTAGGTAGGCTTGTTGTTGAGCGTAACATAGAAAGAACATAGATCGTTTCTCCACTTCAAGGTGAAAAACAAGATAAGGAGAAAGAGATAAGTTGATTCGTTTCAAATTTCAATAACAAAGTAGAAATGTTACGGTAATCGTGGATTAATTCAAATGAAAGATTATTCGTGGTTTTCATTTTTTTGTAATTTTGTGATTTGTGACATATTCAATTATATCATATTCAACAGAGATACTCATCTATTGATGAGCATGATTTATAAAAGCGGAATTAGTTTCTTTTATTGCAGAAGAAACTATTCCCCTGCAATATATTTTGTATTTGCAACATGAGAAAATGCAAAATGTCTCCTAGGAGTCAGGAAATTCACAAGTCCTTGTATAAAATAACATTAAAGTCTACAACATTATATAGAATTGAATGTTAACCCATACATAGATAACATAGGCAAAAAAATTAAAATATTACATTTTTAATAAATAATTATGAATAAGTTGAAGTTTTGAATCTATTTACGAATCTATTGCACTCATTCACGCTCAAATTAGACGTGACTCCCTGATCACTCACGCCTAAAATGGGCGTGAGTCAGACAGCCTAATTTCGTTTTCTCTCTCTTTATTATTGAATCGACGAGTTTTTGACTCATTTTCCTTCTAACGTTCTTAACCCATGGTTGTTGATTTAATTTCTTTTAATCTCATTATCTGTACCCATTTTTCGTTTTTTTCTCTTGTTCTTCAAGAGGGTGTGTGTAAACTTGAAAGAAGAGAAACCCTTTTCAGAGTGCCGAGTGGAGAGATTGAAGATATTACAACCTCACGATCTGTATAAGAAACCCCAAACCACTAATCTATGATCCATAAACAGTTCCACTTGCTCAAGTCTGTCACCCCATTCTGCTGCAATATATCAGTACCAATTGTCAAACACGTTGAGCTCGTGATCTTTGTTGCCAGAGTGTTCCTCATACTATCCAACAACTTCAAATTGAGGGCATTTGGCACGGAACCCAGTGGTGTGTTGTTTAAAATCTGCACCCTTTCACAAAGCACTTCATTGTGTCACTAAACTCGTCCTGCAGAACAACTTCATAAGAGTATTTTACCTGCGACAAGTAGTGGAACCAAAAGAAAAAGGAAAAACGGAAAAAGAAAAATAGAACACTAAAAACAGAGACGAAGAGACTGTTCAAAGTGTCTCTGCCATCGCGTGAACAATGAGGCAACACAAAACCAAATGGGCGAGTCATCGTTTCAGTCGTCCTTTGTTTGATTGGCGAATCGATCGTTCCTCGTCTACATTAGTTTATCTACCCTTAGCTATTACCAAAAAAAAAAAAAAAAAAAAAAGAGATGAAGAAGATGAAGGAGAAACGATCCTTTTTTACATGAAAACAAAGGAGTTTTTTAAGGGGGAAAATGGTCAATAAATCATCGTTATCTCATTCTCATCTTTCCTGTCCCCATGTCACGTCCAACTAAGGCGTAATTTCCTTTTGAATTACGCCTAAGAGAGGCGTGAGTGATCATTTCCCAAGTTCAAATTAGTCACGCCTAATTTAGGCGTGAGTGTCTTGTGGGTTACGCCTAATTTAGGCGTGAGTAGTCACGCCTAATCAGGGCGTGACACACTGCAATACATGTGTAAATAATTTCAAAACAGTAATAAATTCGTAATTTTTTAATTAAATTACAATTAATTAATTATTTTGCCAGATAACATATATGCAACATACGGAATTGAATGTCAACTAGTACACAGATAACATAACATAACAACAACACACGCAACATAAGCATAAATGACACATTTTGGAAGGAGAGCACGTAACATACATATGCAGAGTATTTTTATGGATATATCAGTGCCTGAGCGAGCCCAACTCCTCAATTAAAGCACTTAAATCTGAGTAAGATGATCCTCCTTCTGCTACAGCTTGCCTAGCCAGTCCTGAGAGCACCTTCACTTTGTTCCTCATTTCCACTGCTTCTTCCCCAGTCATTATCCTCTTCACAGCCTTCTCTACTTCCTCCCATTTAGTGCTATCCCCCACCAATCTAACCCATTTTTTAACACCAACAGGTACTCCAATTTTAAGGACTTCAGTCACCAACTTCTCATTGAAAAATTGCTCTGCAGCAACAGGAAATGTGACCATTGGTACCCCAGCAGTTACAGCTTCCAAAGTTGAATTCCATCCACAATGAGTCACAAACGCTCCTACAGCTTCATGTTCAAGAACCAACACTTGAGGTGCCCAACCTCTTATAATCAGTCCCTTCCCTTCCATTCTTTTCTCAAATCCTTCGAGTAGCCATTCCTTTTCATCTTCTTTGCTTTTTCTCACGACCCATATGAACTGTTGCCCTGAAGCCTCGAGACCCATAGCAATTTCTCTAAGTTGAGAATCGGGGAAGTTTGTTACACTTCCAAAGCATACATAAACAACTGAATTGGGTTTTTTATTTTCAAGCCACTTCAGCCACTCATGCTCATCAATAGATGCCTCCTTTCCTCTATGTGCTTTTTCTTCTGTATCTATGTTGCTAAGAGACAACGGGCCTATATGCCACGCTTTTCTTCCAAGTACATTCCTGTAATAATCTGCATAGACTTGCTCAAGTTCATAGAAGCTGTTAACAATAACCCCATAACTTCTGGCCTCTGATTCGCGGCTTTCTTCAAAGAAACTGGTCATGTTTATGCTCTCATGAACCACTAGGAAATCTGGCAGTTGATTCCTTGTCATTTTAATCTCACCTGGAAGATTAGGAATGACAAAGGACTCTGAATCAGAACAAACTTTATTGTAAGGCATGTAGAGTCGCATGCACTCAATAGCACACAAAGCGAAGAAACTAATCCCATGGAACACGATCCTAGGAATTTCGAATTTGGCAGCAGAATCAGTTGTCCATGAAAACATCAAATCAGCAACAAGACAATCCGGGTGCTGCTCAAGTAACAGTTTCTCAAGGGGCTCTTGTAGGACCCTAGTGGCCTTAAAGAAGGTAGGAGACAAATGTGGTGAAGGGACTGAATCAGCATTTTCACATCGTTCAGGTAAACCAAGCTTTTCAGAGGGGAACTTGATGGTTTGGATATGGATCCCATTGCTATAAGTTTTGGCTTTTCCTATGGCTTTGGAGATGAGAGGTGCGTTGAGTGGGGTGGTGACTATGGTGGCCTTAACCCCTTTTGCAGCAAATGCTTTGGCCATGTCAACTATTGGAATAATATGGCCATGAGCCAAGAAGGGGAAGAAGAATATGTGTAAAGGACGATTATCACTACCCATTTTTCTCGCTTGTGAAGCGAATTCGGATTTTGCACACAAACTGTATATTAAGGAGTAATAAGAAGGAAAAGGAAAATGAATTTGAGCGCAGAAACGCTTGAGAGAGAGAGCGCGCTTATATACAGGAAAATGTGTGTATCATCTAAAGGATAAAGGATGAAAAGTTAAGAGATAGACAAAAGAGAAGAGAAAGTGAACAAAAAAATATGAAAGTGTGGGTCTGACGATAAATATTTTTCTCTTATATTTATTGAGTTATCCCAATCTAATTGTCTCCATGAGGTTTCTCACGATTCTCACAAACTTCGATTGTCTGAGCAGATTATAAAATTAGTTCCAAGTGCGGGTATTTAAATTCTTCCCAAAAAAACCATATAAAAATGGAAACAAAATCCTTTCTTTTCCAGTCTCTCAATTTTCCTTCCTATCAACCAAGCTGCCACAATTTAATATAGTTCGCTTGAGGATAGAGCATTTATATACACATTTCACCAGCAATTGAAATAAAAGGGTATTTGAAATATTATTAAATCGTATTTGAATCTGTACATAGGGGTCTCTATTTATAGAGACTTCTTGACCTAATTTTGACCTAATGGGCTTGGCCCAATATACAAGTAACGGACTAAATAAATACAAATAAATGACTACATAATTACTAATAAATGACTACATAATTACTATTTACAACAGCAATAAATGACTACATAATTACTAATAAATGACTACATAATTACTATTTACAGCACTCCCCCTCAAGTTGAGAAATAGATATTTATCATTCCCAGCTTGCTAGCAAGTTCTTAAAATCTATCTGAAGGAAGCCCATTTGTCAATAGATCAGCTAATTGACGCCCAGTGGGAATGTATGGAGTGGTAATCAACCCGCTATCAAGTTTCTCTTTGATGAAATGGCGGTCGACCTCAATATGTTTAGTCCGATCATGTTGAACTGGATTATGAGCTATACAAATAGCGGACTTATTATCACATAGCAGCTTCATAGGTCCCTCACATTTTATTTTTAGATCATCAAGTACAATTTTCAGCCACAGTAACTCACAAATTCCTTGAGCCATAGCTCGAAATTCAGCATCTGTACTTGATCTGACGACCACATCTTGTTTCTTACTTCTCCATGTCACCAAGTTACCACAAAGAAACATGCAATAACCAGTGGTAGAACGACGGTCAGTCACGGATCCAGCATAATCAGCATCTGTGTAGACTTCTAAAGATAGATTGTCATCACGTCGGAATAACAACCCTTTACCAGGAGTACCTTTCAGATACTGAAGAATTCTCTCTACTGCCTGCATATGTTTCTCCTTTGGATCGTGCATAAACTGACTGACAACACTAACAGCATAAGCTAAGTCTGGTCTAGTATGGGCCAAATATATCAATTTCCCAACTAGCCGTTGATATTGTCCTTTATCAACTGGAGGACTCTCTTCTTCATAGCCCATCTTGTGATTCTGCTTAATAGGAGTATTAGAGGGTTTACACCCGAGCTTTCCTGCTTCTTTGAGAAGATCAAGAACATATTTCCTCTGGCTGATAAAGATTCCTTTGCTCGAATGAGCTACTTCTATCACTAGGAAATATCTCAGTTTCCCAAGGTCTTTGACTTCAAACTCAGAGGCAAGCCGTGTTTGCAGAATCTGTCTCTCCACAAAATCATCACATGTGATAATAATATCATCAACATATACAAGGAGCACAGTAAGCTTCCCATTTTGGGAGTGCTTGAAAAAAAGAGTGTGATCTCCTTGACTTTGTTTATATCCTAAGGTCATCATAACCTTAGTAAACTTTCCAAACCAGGCACGAGGTGACTGCTTCAATCCATACAAGGCCTTTTTTAATTTACAAACTGTATTTTCTCCCTTCACAGAATCAAAACCAGGCGGAATTTCCATGTAGACTTCTTCTTCTAACTCACCATTGAGGAAAGCATTCTTCACATCAAATTGGTTTATATCCCAATTGTAATGGGAAGCAAGGGATAACAAAACTCTCACCGTATTCATCTTTGCAACTGGAGCAAATGTTTCTTCATAATCAATGCCATAGGTTTGAGAGTAACCTTTGGCAACTAATCGAGCTTTGTATCTCTCAAGAGTTCCATCAGAATTATATTTCAGGGCATAAACCCATCTGCACCCTACTGCTTTCTTTCCAGTAGGTCTATCAATAACCTCCCATGTTTTATTTTTCTCCAATGCATTCATCTCCTCTTGCATGGCTTGAACCCAATTCCTATCTTTCAAGGCTTCATGTACTGATTTTGGGATTGCAATAGAGTCTAGTGCTGAAACAAAGCTTTTGTGCTGCACAGAAAGATTAGCAGAGGAAACAAACTGGGAGATAGGGTATTGAGTACAAGAGGGACAGAAGGGACAAGATTTCTTGGGACAAGTTCTTTTTCCTTTTCTAAGAGCAATGGGTAAATCATCAGAATCAGTAGTAATGGGTAAGTCATCATGATCAGAAATATGAGATTCAGAACTTACCAGTGGTTCAGACGATTGAGGTTGCTGCTGAGACAATGTGGGCTGTTTCCTTCTTTCAGGTTTCATAATCTTTCGTATCTCTGGTGTACTTGATGTATCAATCACAGGAGAATCAGTCACAGGAGGATTACTCACAAGAAGATCAGACACAGGAGGAACAGCCAAAGGAGAAACAGACACAGGAGGAACAGGACCAGGTGGAGGATACACTGACATAGGTAAAGGAGTAGACACTGATGATTCAAACTCAAAGAAGGGAGGTGATGAGATTTCTGGTGAAGGATTCTCCCCCTGAAGATGAGGACCTTGGAAAAAGGACTCAGATTCCTGAAATGTAACATCCATAAAAACAAAAAATTTCCTACTACTAGGGTGATAGCACTTGTAGCCCTTCTTATCAGGAACATAACCAAGAAAAACACATTTAATAGCCCTAGGGTCCAACTTACTGCGATGATGTTTATGAACATGAACAAAAGCAACACACCCAAACACTCGTGGAGGAAGACTCATCATAGTTGGAATAGAAGGAAAAAAAGAAGTCATAGAGTGAATAGGACTTACATGGTCAAGTACCCGAGTGGGTAAACGGTTGATCAAGAATGCTGCAGTAAGAATAGCATCTCCCCAATAGTATTTGGGTACATGTGTCTGAAACATTAATGCACGAGCCACTTCAAGAAGGTGACGATTTTTTCTTTCAGCAACCTCATTCTGTTGGGGGGTGTCAACACAAGTAAGTTCATGAATCATACCGTTATTTCTTATAAATTGGGAAAAGCTATGATTAACATATTTAGTACCATTATCTGTTCTAAGTCTCTTGAGTTTTTTACCAAACTGGGTCTCAATCATTTTATAAAATTGAAAGAACAGTTGTGGTACCTCAGACTTTTCACGCATTAAGTACACCCAAGTTACACGAGTGCAATCATCAATAAAAGAAACAAATCATCTATTTCCAGAACCATGAGGGACTTTAGAGGGACCCCAAACATCAGAATGAATAAGATCAAAAAGTTCAACACTCTTAGTAATACTAGAAGGAAAAGACACACGATGATGCTTAGCAAATTCACAAACATCACAATGAAAAGACTCAACAGATTTAGACAAAAACAATGACGGAAATAAAGATTTGAGTAAACTAAATGGAGGATGACCTAAGCGCTTATGATGAAGCCAAATCAAAGAATCAGCAGTTGATTGACCATGAGACATCAAGATGTGATTTGTTACTTTATTTGCAGGAGATTGTGACACCAGATAGTACAACCCACCTTGCTCTTTAGCATTACCAATCGTCTTCCCCGTGGCGAGATCCTGAAAAACACAATGGGTAGGATAGAAGGTTACAGTACAATTCAAATCTTTTGTAATTTTATGAATAGAAAGAAGATTCGTGGAGAGTTTAGGAACATGAAGAACATCCTTAAGATGTAAGGACTGCTGTAAGTTTATGTCACCAGAACCCGCAACTGATGTATGAGAGCCATCAGCTACGGCTATTGTATGAGTTCCAATGGTAGGATGATAAGAGGTAAAGGAGTCAGCACAACAAGCCATATGATCAGTAGCACCAGAATCAACAACCCAAGAATGTTTAAAATCATTACATGAAGAAAGGAAAGAATAAGTTTTGGAGCTCATACCAGTCATAGTCAAAGCACTAGTATCAGATGGCTTACTCATAGAATCAAGAATGGTTCGGAGCCGTTCCAACTCATCTGGACGAAATGCAGGTTGGGTCTTATTAGGTGTAGGAGTTATTTCAGAGGAAGTAAAATGCGCTTGACCACGCAACTTTGCCATCTTTTCTAAGACAGATTGCTTTCCATAAAGGCGAAAGCATAAATCCTTGATATGACCTGTTCTTTTACAATAAGAACACCATCGATCATCTCTCTTAGGTCTAGAAGAGGTACCATCATAAAATTTTGAAAAAGAACTCCTTTGAGAAGAGGCCATACTGCACAGAAAATGGTCAAAGAAAAGCTCGAAGAAGCCAAAAAATCACAAATAAATATCAAACGATGTCCGATCAAATAGAGGAGCACAAATCCAGAAAGAGGATGAAAAACCACCGGGAAAGGGTCCAATCGTGATGAAAAGATGCTGTCTTGTGATGAAGAATAATGGAGACGATGAACAGTAACAGAGATCCAGTATAACAGAGATCTTCTCGGTCCAAGAGGTCCCCGGAAAAAATCCGGTGACGGCTGATGGCAGCGAGAGACTAAAAGAATAAAAGGTTCTTGTTCTAAAGACAATAGGCGCGGAAGCAGAGCCCTCAGGATCGAGAGCTCTGATACCAACTTGAAATAAAAGGGTATTTGAAATATTATTAAATCGTATTTGAATCTGTACATAGGGGTCTCTATTTATAGAGACTTCTTGACCTAATTTTGACCTAATGGGCTTGGCCCAATATACAAGTAACGGACGAAATAAATACAAATAAATGATTACATAATTACTAATAAATGACTACATAATTACTATTTACATCAGCAATAAATGACTACATAATTACTAATAAATGACTACATAATTACTATTTACAACACCAGCATTAACACCCTATTGATATAAAGGTATCACTGTATTTATTTATTGATATATCATATAAAGGAACAATCACATCGCCTAAACAAAAAACAACACGCCCCCTCACGCATGAGCCCTTTAGGCTAGAAGCGTGGAATTGCACAGGCCCAATTTTTGGTTTACCTTCGTGCTTTTCATTTTAATTCCACTTTAAAGTGGGGGACAATGAGGCTCTGATACCATATAAAGAACCTTGGGATACACCACCTCAAAAGTTAGCTCAAAGGGTGGGAGTGCCCAAGGCCTTATAAAGGTCATATTAATTACTCATCCAATCAATGTGGGACTATATATATCAACACCCCACGTATCTTTAGAAAGTGCAGCTGGACTAAGGATGTTTGGTCCCATTGGATTGATGACAGTTAATTCGCAATTTTATAATGTTGACCTGGATTGTTGGATCAAGATGAACCTCAGTCGTAAATGCCAGCTCAATACTCTAAAGTCGGAACCGAATTTTTGGGGTTGTCTGCTAGAATATTTGGAAGGAGAGGAACAACCTTATTTTCAATGCCAAAAGCCTAAACCCCCAAGATCTGTTTTACCAGGCTTCTCTTCAGGGAGCTGTTGCTGATGACTGGAACACCCATTGGTTTGATCTTCCTCCTGATGGCTGCAGGGAGCTGTTGCTCGATGATATCAGGGGACTGGGTTGAATCCTTAGCTTGTAGTCTGTTTGTTTATTTCGTTTTGTTTCCAAAAAAAAAAATTTAACAAACAATGTACTAAAATAAATTCTTTCAAAAAAAAAAAATATAGAAACAGTTGTGTCATACATTTTTATAATTGATTTGCTTTATATACAAGAAAAGATATTCTTATTACCAAAAAAATTCGTTACCAACTCACTACTTATCTAATTATTATTGGATCACAGAGAGAGGATACTGAAAAGTTTGTGAAGAAAGAGAAAATGTTAATCCAACAATAATTAGATAGGTAGTGAGTTTTTTCGGTAATAAAAATATCTCCCTCTATATACAAATAGTTTTTTTTAGAAATTTGGATAATGAGAATTGATTTGATTTTATAACAAATCTTTTTTTACGAAAATTATAAAATAATAATTGATATCATTTTAATAATTTTATAATTATAGATATACACACACATATATATGTCTAAATTTGCAATCAAATTTAAATAGATTTCATTTTCAAAATTTATACTATATTTTATAAAATAATCAAATTGATATAAAAATTAATTAACATTTAAAGTATTGTCTATACATAATAATAATCAACTATGGAAAAAATTATACCTTAACTAAATTCAGTAATTAAAACTTCAATTATTATCGTTTTATGTTACTTAAAATTGTATTTATAAACTATGTATGGGAAGCTTTTGTTAGGGAATCAATTCACTTCTCTGAAAATGAATTTAAAAATAAAATAAAAAAAGTCTGCTGATTCTAATGTTATATAAAAATAGATTGTTTAAAACTATGTGATAAAATGAATATATGAAGAATCTTAGTCATGAAAATTTAATATTTGATTAATTAAGCGGCTAAATGGAGAATAAAAAAAAGGAATTGATTAAACAAAATAAAAAATTCGGTAAAGAAAATTTATTTATATCTCCAAGCTTCATGTTACTCATCTCATCACAGGAGAACATGTCTAATCGGGGGCATCGCAGTTCAATTGAATGGAATGACCCTTTCTCGTTATAATAAGAATTTTGATCAAATGGATACCAAAAAAAAAAAAAAAAATTGATCAAAAGATTTTGCTTTTAACAATGAAAAAATTATTCTCATAGATAAATTTTTCCTTTTACACATTCTTCGAGAATCATATCATCTTTTTTATTTATTTATTTATTTTCTAAATAGTGAAGTCCATAAATTTATTTCTATGATATGAGATAATTTATCTCATTTAATATGAAATTAATAAAATCATTTAACAATTTGAGGAAGTCGGAAATCAACTTTCATTTTTCTATCCCAATTTTAAAGAACCCAAGGTTCACGTCCCTAGGTCAATTCCTGCCCCGTGTTTTCGCCAGTGATTGTGCCATACTTTGAAATGCATGGTTTAGACTTTAGACTTGGTATTTGGTAGAAGGAAAAAAAAATTTACTAAAAAAATATAATTACTAGCAAAGAAAGTAAGTTTAATAGGAAAATTAAAAAAAAAATTATTTGGTTGAGTAACATATTACTAAAAAAAAAAATTGAAAATTGTAAGTTGTACTATGCATATGTTATTTTTTGTCATTTATTTAGTTTTCTTCCGAATATCATGTTGAAAGTTACATTCTTGTACAATGAATATGTTGATTTTTTACATACAATTAACAATGCCTGAGAAAAAGCATAAATTTCTTAATATCTTCTACCGAATAGGGACAACAGAAAATGCTACTCAAGAAATTTTTAAATATCCTGAACCAAACGCCATCTAGAGGACCGAAAAGAATTAAGAAAGTTAACAGTAAATTTGAAAGACTAAATATAGCATGAAAATCAAAATAGAATAAAAGACATTTAAATTTCAGAAAAAACAAACTTACGTGTTAGAACTTAGAGGAGAATGGTAAAACATAACGAAAAAGTTATTACTTTAAATTTTTTGAGTTTAATATTTTTAATTTATCTCTTACACATAAAAAAAATATAATTTATATATATATATATATATATATATATATTTTTATTCTTCCCAATATAAATCTCACATATTTTTATATATATGATTTATCTTTTATAACAGACGAGTAATATTAAACCATAATTTATTATAGGAATAGATTAGTTTCTCTTATAAAGACAAATAATATAGCAGATTACAAATTATACTACCGACATAGATTAATATGATGTTCACAAATCACAAACAGAACAAATTTCGTTGTCTAACACAACTGCAATTCCTGAATAAGAGAGTTCAAATCAGAGTAAGATGATCCTCCTACTTCAACAGCCTGCCTAGCCTTCTGGGCAAGCGACCTGGCATTGTTTCTGAGTACCTCTGCTTCTTCTCCGACCATTATCCTATTCAAAGCATCCTCTATTGCATCCTTCTTAACACCACCTCCCACTTTCACACCAACAGGAACCCCTATTTTAATGACCTCGGTCACAAACTTTTCATTGTAAAACTGCTCTGCACACAAAGGCCAAGTGACCATTGGCACCCCACCAGACACCCCTTCCAATACTGAGTTCCATCCACAATGTGTCACAAACCCTCCCACTGCTTCATGGTCCAAAATTAACACTTGAGGTGCCCAACCCCTTATGATTAGTCCCTTACCTTCCATTCTTTTCTCAAATCCTTCAGGCACCCATTTCTCCTTCTCTTCTTCATCTTTCCTGTTTTTTCTCACAACCCATATGAATTGTTGACCAGAATTCTCCAAGCCCATTGCAATTTCCCCTAGCTGAGAGTCACTGAAGTTAGCCATGCTTCCAAAGCAAACATAAACAACGGAATTGGGTTTCTTGGAGCCTAGCCAATTCAAACACACATGTTCATCAATGTCAGCTTCTTTTCCTCTCTTTGCTTTTTCTTCATTGTCCCTATTGCATAGTGACACCGGGCCTATATTCCACGTTCTCCTTCCAAATACCTTCCTGTAATGATCTGAATAAACCTGCTCCAGTTCATTGAAGCTGTTCACAACCATCCCATAGCTCTTAACCTCTGATTCCCTAGAATCGTTCAACAACCGGGTTAAGGTTTTTTCCTCATCATCTTTTCTACTGAGCTCTGTCAATTGCATCCTTGTCATTTTGATCTCACCGGGAAGATTGGGAATGAGAAAGGCCTCTGAGTCTGATGAAACATTCTTGTAAGGCTCGTAGGTTGTCACGCAAAATGAAGCACACAGAGAAAACAAACCTGTTCCGTGGAAAACAAGCCTTGGGATTGAGAATTTAGCAGCAGAATCAGTTGCCCATGGGAAAAACATATCAGCAATAAGGCAGTGTGGTTGTTCTTCAAGCAAAAGCTGCTCCAGGGGTTCCTGCAGCATCATGGTTGCTTTGAAGAAACTATGAAGCATATTTAGGTTTTGGATTGAATCAGCATTTTCACATCCTTCAGGTATGCCAAACTCAGCACAAGGGAACTTGATTGTTCGGATACCAATGCTATGGTGAGGAGCTTTTGTTTTCTCTAGAGTTCGGAGTATAAGAGGGGCGTTGAGTGGGGTGGTGATTATTGTGGCTTTGACCCCTCTTGCAGCAAATAGTCTTGCCATGTCAATGGTTGGTATTATGTGTCCTTGAGAAGGGAATGGGAAGAAGAACATGTGTAGGTGATGATCTACACTACCCATATTGGTTGCTCAAGTTTGAATTTTGCAATATGCACTTAGGGAGTTGTGAGAACTAAGAGGAGGAAAAAATGTGCTTGAGGATTGGCAAAGTCATGAAAGTATTTGGTACTTGTTGTTTAGGTTTCTCCCTCAATTTATGGAGAAATAACTTGGCGCTTTCAGACAAGGAGTATGCTTGCTGATTCCCAATTGGATTCGGATCTTTGGATACTAGACAGGTCATAATAGCAATAGTGCTAAGGTATTGACACATAACTGCATAGAGCATGCTACCTTTTTGACATGCTCTAGAAGGAGATAACATTTGATAACATTATAGTGCGTGTTACCTTTAGATACTTATATTAAATTATTATATTGAGTATAAAACTAAGATTTGTTTGTCTCATGTTACATACCATAACAAACATTTTTTATACACTATAAAAAGGTGTGTCATTATTTTTTTATTTTTTATTGTTTTAAAATAAGTGATCTCACAATTGATGTATCAATGATATGGGATTAAGACTTTCCTACAACATAAGATTTATTTTTCTCATAAAACTAATGTTATATTAAATTATCAAAAAAATATTTCTGCAGTTACTGCAGATAAGTTATCTGCATTTACTTTCAAAACGATGTCATTTTGAGATTGAAATATTAAAAAATTATAATTATAAAGACTATATAATAATCCTAAAATAAATTAAAAGATAATTAATTTTTTCATTTTACATGAGAAAATTTTCTCATGTTATACACACAATACATGAGTGGGATCCATAAAAAAGTGACAAGACAAAAAAAAGTCAAGATGGGACCCACTCATGTATTGGAAATGTAACATGAGAAAATTTTCTTATGTAAAATGAGAAAACTATTTCTCAAATTAAAATTATAAAAATATCATGATTTCTATCCCAAAATAACGTCGTATTGGACTTACTGCAAATAATTTATCAATTACTTCAGAAAAAGCGAACCCTTAAATTATCATGCATTTTTATTTATATAGAGAAAAAAACAAATGAATAAAACAATTAAACAAGTTAAATAGACTTTTTGAACTTGTTCGCTGTTTACTAGGACCACATCTTCTCTGTTATAGGTGCATCAATCAGTGAGTGTGATGGTAATATTTATAGTAGGGGATATATTTTTCTCATATTGCATCAAACAAGTTGTCGCATGCAACACGCAAAAAAATAAATAAAACTCACTTTTTTCTTTCTCTCTCTTTTTTCTAGTAGATTCTACTCACTTTTTTATGTGTTGCATGAGACAAATTGTCTCATGCAATATGAAAAAAATATTTCCCTTATATTATATATTACCGTTAATATATAATATAAAATATAGAAATTATTTTTTTCCTCTTTCTAGTATAATAGCAATTGATATGGCATATTCGGAACAGTGACTAAGATATCACTGTTGGCAAAAAAAATTATCAGACTGTTAAGCTAATAGTAAATTTTTCCAAATATCACGTAGCATATTTCGCTACACAGTGTAGCGAAATATGCCACGTCAGAATGCACAGAACCAAAAATGTCACGTGTCAAACAGGAAGAATTTCACTATACTGTGTAGTGAAATTCTTCCTATTTGACACGTGGCATTTTTGGTTCTGACGTGGCATATTTCACTGTATTGTGTAGCGAATTATTTGCACACATATTTTGCTATACAGTGTAACAAAATATGTCATGTGACATTTTGGTAAAATTTACTATTAAGATGACAGGCTCGTAAATTTTTTTTGGCAAGAGTATCAAAATGGTGACTGTTCCACATATTTCTATTGATCCATTGTACCTACTCTCGTTGGCAGACCCACGTTATTGCACTTGATTGCATGTGCACACAGTAATTTCTAGAAAAAAAAAATTATCTTTTTTACTAACTCTGCATGCTTGTTTATTTTTCTAACTCACAAAGTATGTTCTGGTAGCGGGTATATGTTGTCAGTGTATTTAATAATACATAATTATATAGAAATGGATTGTCCATTTTAGGATTTTATAAAAATTATTGATTATTCTCAAAGATTGACGTAATTATTGTTAACTACTCTTAAAGATTGACAACATAATTATTGTAAGAATTATTTCATAATTTTCAATTCTGATGGATACATCTATAGATATTTTAGTAAAGGTTGTTTCTCTAATTGATTTATGTTTGATTGTAATTATTTTATTGTAATAATTTTGTCACTCTTGATTATTATTATTTTTATATTAAGTTGAAGTTTTTTTTTATATTCTTTTATTTTTTTAATATATTTAAAAATTTAGAAAAAAAAACTGGAAACATTATATACAAATTTTCATCATTAAATGTGGTGATATAAACAATTTTTTTTGAATCTGTCGTTACACCTGTAACACCCTAAATTTTTCGGTCTACTAGGAACAACGCTCATGCTCCCTAGATTACCGTTGTATATTAACATTGGTCTGTTCTAGAAGCTGAGGCGGCTAGTGATACTGACCGTGAGTTCGGTCAATAAGTGACACTGAACGTGAGTTCGGTCCATTTATTCATTTTATTGTGTTTCGAATAAAAAATGAAAAATAAACCTAAGACAGCTATTATACAGTATTATTAGTTTGATCTAGGTGGGCCAATGATACTGACGGCCTATTTATTGTGAAATACATTAAGAAACAAGGGTAAAAAATAGTAAATAAGTTAAAAGTTAAAGTGAAGAGAGATAGATTATTCGTACTGTCAATTATTTTTATTATAAATTCATTATTACTTTAATTATTATTGGATCCCATTTTTTAGTTGATAATATTTTAAAAAAATTAAAGAGAAAAAAAAATTAATATACTCTTCAGAATATATAATTATATTAGAATGATAGTAAATTAATAATAAAAATAATTGATACTATGAATATCCTATCTCAAAATTGAATAATAAGTAGGGCAAAGCATGTGCAATGGCTGTAGCAGTTAGCTAGGCAAACTACACAGACACAGCACACAAGAAAAGGAAGAAAAAAATTCGCATTCTAGATAGTTTTGTAGTTAAAGAAAACAAATTAAAGCAAAATAAAGAAAAGTTTGGTGTGCATGACAATCTTTTCGGAATTTTTTTTTTAATTTATGTTTCTGTAAACAAAAATGGATAAAAAACTAGTTTGGTAAAACCGGTTTATTTTTTGGAAAAAATATTTGTGCATTTACTGCAGATAAGTTATCTGTATTTATTCCCAAAACGACGTCGTTTTGGTATTGAAATCTTAAAAAATTATAAATATAAAGACTATTATAACCATGAAATAAATTAAAATTACAAAAACACCATGATTTTCGCCCCAAAACGATGTCGTATTGGGCTTACTGCATATAACTTATCTGCAATAACTGCAGAAAAAACGAACTCTTATTTTTTTTGTTCCGGGGAAGAACGTTTTAATTTTTGTGTTGGGGAACAGAAAAAACAATCAAAAAATATCTGCTTTTTATTTCCGGGCAAAAAATAAGAAACACTTGTCTATCTTAATCACTCTCCACCTCTACCATCATCACCACCACCACCATCATCCCGACACGACTACCAGCACCATCGTCGTCACCGCCATCGTACCACCATTGCCTTCGTCGCCACCATCACCATTGCCTCCACCCATCACTACTACCATGTCACTGTCACCACAACCGCCGCCACCACCATCATCGTCACCACTACCATCACCACCACCGCCACAAATCACCACAACCATCATCGTAGCCATTGTCGCCACCACCACCACTGCCACCATCATCACCATCGTCACCAACTACCACTACCATTGCTACAGCCATTGCCGCTACCACCACTCCACCACTGTCACCATCACCACCATCATCACCAACCACCACTGCCGTCACCACTACCACCATGCCATCACCATCACCACGTCACCGCCACCACCACCACCACTGCTACCAACCACCACCATCATCGCCACAACCATTGTTGTCACCATCAGCACCACCGCCGCAGCCATTGACATCACCACTGCCGCCACCACCGCTGTCGCCACCGTAGCCATTTACATCACCGTTGCCGCAATCACTTTCATCACCACCATCACCATGTCATCGCCACTACCACACGCCACCATTACCACCACCACCATCATTGCAGCCACTGCTGTCACCACCACCATCATCGTCATCACTATCACCGCCACCGCCACCGCCATCACAACTATGCCACAACCACCGCCACCATCACCACTACCACCATTGTCGCTGTCACCACTACCATCAGCCACCACTACCACCGCCGCTGCCATCATTACCACTGTCGTCGCCGCAGCCACTGCCGTCACCACCACCACCACCACCATGCCGCCACCACCATTGCCACCATTACCACCACTACTGCTGCAGTCACTGCCGTCACCACCACCACCATGCCATCACCACCACCACCATGCCATCACCACCACCACGCTGCACCACCATCATATAAAAAGAAAAGTGATTATCCGAAAAAAATTTATGTTTAATAGGAATTATTTTTTATTATATTATTTGTTGTGTTATCAAACACAATTCTCATTATCAGAGTAAAAATTGAACATGTTATCAAACACATTTTTTCTCCGAAACTGTTCCAAGGCACAAAAATAGAAAAGAATTGTTTCTTTTCAGAAACAGTGCCAGAGAACAGAATGGTTGTCATGCACACCCTAAATGGATAAAAAACGCGTTTGGTAAAATTGGTTTATTTTTTTGTTCCAGAGATGAACTGATTTCAATTTTGTGCTAGGCAACACGAAAAAGAATAATTCTATTTTTTTGTTACCAGGCACAAAATGAGAAACACTTATTTCTCTCAATTACTCTTCACCGCTATCATCACCACCATCATCCCGACATGACCACAGTGATCATTTGTCGCCGTCGTTGTACCACCAATGTCGTCGTCACCACCTCCACAACGACAACGATGCCACCGCCACCATCACAACCACCACAACCACGATGTCATCGCCACCACCTCCACCCATTACCACTATCACCAATGCCACCACCACTACCATCACTGTCACCACCAACGTCACCACCACCACCATTGCTATCACCACACCATTGCCACCACCACGACGCCGCCACTTCCACCACTGTCACTAACCACCATTACCATCGCCGCAGCCATTGCCATTACCACCACCACCATCACCAACCTCCACTATCATCGCCGCCACCACCACCACCACCGCAATCGCTATCACCACGCCATTGCCACCACCACGACGCCACCACTTCCACCACCGTCACTAACCACTATTATCATCGTTGCAGCCATTGCAATTGCCATTACCACCTTCATCATCACCAACCACCACCACCACCATTGTCGTAGCCACTGCCATCACCGCCGTCGCCGCCACCACCATCATCGTCACCACCATCAACATCGTCATCGCTATCACCACGCCATTGCCACCACTTCCACCACCATCACTAACAACTATTACCATCGACGCAGCCACTGCCATTACCACCACCGCCGCAGCAGCCACTGTTATCACTGATGGGACGAAAATTTGTTCCCATCTAAGCCTATTTTGATGGTAAAATACCGTTCGTTCCCTCACCTAATGAGCAACTTTAGCACTAAAAGCACATGTTTTATATCTTTACTACAAAAACATAGTGGGGAACGGATTTGGAACATTAAATACACCTGCTTCACTTACTCAATCTTTCTGACCACTTTTCAGGAAACGTTGAAAAGAAGTTTCCAATTAAGCATAAGTGGGAAGCAATCAACCAAGGAGAAATGTGTGCAACAGGGAATAAACGGTTCCTATTGGCTGAAAAGGAAAGCAAGGCATGAGGGAGATCAGAAGGAAAGACAAATCTCAACAATAACTGTCTCACCCAGCCACTTGCGCCCATCAAAGCACTGTTCACACCGCCCCTTTCATGCAGTCAAGAAAACAACTCCAAGGGATTTACATGCTTGCCATTCACTCTTCTGCCTATAAATAGGACGTTCCAACACGAAGACAACCATCGAATTCCTTAAGAAGAGATCACTTAATTTATTTTATAGTTTTCTTTGTAGTTGTATAGTTTTAACTTTAGTTAAGTGACAACACTTCTTCTTCATTTTGTATCACCCACTTGAGACTCTTCACGAGCAACAACCATATTCTCCACTTTTCATTTTGTTGTAATCAAGTTGTTTTTATTTAAATACAAGTGTTATTTCTCTCTTTTCCATTCGCTATCTCTGAACTGAATCTCGGGTTTATGGGACTTCAGTTTGAAATAATTATGTTTAAACTAGTAGCCATGGGCTAAACTATCTGTGGAACGGAAAAACTGCAAAGTTCTTAAAGAATTATTTTCAAAACTCTTGTATTACAGCTTTTGCGTTTCTCTGGTTAAGTGAGCTATATTCATTGTGTATCAATGGAAATTGAACACATACTAAGAAAGAAACTTCCATAAGGAAGGGATTTCAGACAGCTTAACTAGATAGGGAAGGCAGTCTTGTGAAAATAAGACTGTTGGTTGCCTTAGGAATAAGGGGCCACCTCATTCACTTAAAGGTCTTGTACCCAGTACCTGTTGGAGTCAAGGGAGCCATAGGAATATGGAAACTTGTGAGTCATCTAGTCCATGAGTTGAGGAATCAGAGTTGGCAGTGAAGAGACTGGAACAGATACAAAAGTGTTGAGTCTTAAGTAGAGAAACTAACTATTTAAGAATGGAGCAGTGGATTTGTTCCTTCTGTTCAAATTGTTTTAAAACCATCTACCATGTTGTCTCTTAGTTACTGTTATTACTGTTTGTAGTAGTTTTTTTATTTATTTAATCTTGTATCTATAAACCTCTCATGAATATTGTTCCTTCCCTCAACAAGAAGGATAACATACATAACGAAGCGATGAACGGTTTGCTGTCGGATTGAACCTACTGTCCTTGAGAAATGTTGTCAAGATAGTAGGGAACGTTTCACCAAACTGGTCAATTACTAACTTTTCTTTTTATTTTCATTCTTTTATAATAGTATAAGGCATTAATTAGAGTTCTATCCTCGTGGGAACGATAATCTGGGCATTAATACTCTCATTTATTACTTGATGTGTGCACTTGCGCACTTGGGTTGAAATTAAGAGAGCAAATGTGTTTTCTCTTAAAGAACTGAGGAACGTTTTACAGCATAATATATTTTTTTCCACCCAACAAGCTTTGACCCAACAATCATCACCACCACTGTCACCAACCACCACCATTATCGCCGCGGTCACTGCTGTCACCACCACCATTATGTCACCACTACCACGCCACCACTACCGCCACCAACCACTACCACCATCTTCTTAGCCACTGCCATCACCATCATCGCCACTGCCATCATTACCACCACTACCACTATACTGTCACCACCACCACCACCATCTCTGCAGCCATTATTGTCACTACCACTACCATCACCACGCCACCACCATCGCCACCATTACTGCCGACGCCGCCACTGCCACCACCAAACCATATGGAAAGGAAAGTAATGCGAAAAAAAAAATTATGCTTGATAGGAATTATTTTTATTATATTATTTATTATGTTATCAAACGCAATTCTCATTCTCAGAATAAAAATAGAACATATTATCAAACATATTTTTTCTCAGAAACTGTTCTAAGACACAGAAATAGAAAAGAATTGTTTCTTTTCAGAAACAGTAACAGAGAACGGAATGGTTGTCATGCACACTCTAAGAGTAAGAAAACAAAAATAAATTTTTTTTGAGAATTGAACCTGGGACATCGAAGCTATGATACTATGGGTGTGCATGGCAACCATTCTGTTCTGTGATACTGTTTCTGAAAAGAAACAATTCTTTTCTATTTCTGTGCCTTGGAACAATTTTTGAGAAAAAAATTTGTTTGATAACATGTTTTATTTTTATTCTGAGAATGAGAATTGTGTTTGATAACATAACAAATAATAGAATAAAAAATTATTCCTACTAAGCATAAAAAAAATTTGGATCATCACTTTTCTTTTCATATGGTGTGGTGGTGGTGGTGGCAGTGATAACGGCGGTGGTTGTAGTAGTGGCGTTGTGGTGGTGGCGGCGATAGCGGTGGCGTCATGGTGGTGGTGGTGGAGGTGCTGGCATAGTGATGGTGGCGGTGGCAATGATGGTGATGGTGGTGATGGCATGGTAGCGGTGACGGCGGCGGTGGTGGTAATGGTGGCATGTTGGTAGTAGTGGTGTGGAGGTGGTGGTGACGGTGGCAATGGTGTGATAATGGTAGTGGTGGTAATGGTGGCAGTAGTGGTGGTGGTGGTGACGGCAGTGGCTGCGACGATGGAATGATGATGACATGGTGATGGCGGTGGCGGTGGAAGTGGCATGATAATGGTAGTGGTGGTGGCGGCGGCGGCGGCGATAATGGTGGTGGCGGTGGCAGCGATGGTAGCGGTGACAACAGTTTTTGCGACAATGGTAGTGGAGATGACATGGTGGCGGTGGTGTAGTGGTGGCAGCGGTAATGGTGATGGAGATGGCGGCGATGGTAATGGTGGTAGCGGTGGCTGTGACGGTAGTAGTGGTGGTGGTGATAGTAGTGTCTGCGACGATGGTGATGGAGATGACATGGTGGCGGCGGCGGTAGCGACTGCAGCGATGGCGATAGTAGTTGTGGTGTGGTGGTGGTGGTGGTGGTGATGTGATGGTAGTGGCTACGATGATGGTAGCGGTGGTCGTGTCAGGATGGAGGTGGCGGTGGTGATTATGGTAGTGGTGGAGAGTAATTGAGAGAGATAAGTATTTCTTATTTTGTGTCCAGAAACAAAAAAGTAGAAAAAAATTTATTCTTTTTTCTGTACCCAGCACAAAAATTACACCGGTTCATCCCGGAAACAAAAAAATAAACCATTTTTATCAAACGAGTTTTCTATTCGTTTCTATTCCCAGGAGCAGAAATTAAAAAAAAAATGATTTCGAGAAGGTTATCATGCACATTTTATGTAAAGAACTAATTCATCCAAAAGCTTAAACTGTTGTGTGAGGTTATATTAATGATTTTATATATCTGTAACACGCTCCCTCATAAGAGAGCGCATTGGGCTTGAAAGGTGATTGATGAATTAGGCCCAGCTTATCTGCGTTAAAAAATTTCATAAAGAAAATGGGGGGCGACGAGGATCGAACTCGGGACACTAAAGCTCTGTGTAACGCCCGTCTGCAGCCAGTTAATTAACATTCAGATGATAATAAACGCATCATACTTTATAAATTAAATATGGAAGCTAACTAATTAACTTTTTCTTTTTTCTTATGTATTGCAAACTTTATCACTTTCATGGCCAAAATAAAACGGACGATTTCGTCTGTATTTTATACCATTGAGGATATTTCTCACCATGATAATTTCCACTTAATTAACAGTTTAATATAATTTAAGTATACATTATATTACCCAGCCATCCATGGCATAGGCTATCACATAATTACCAGGTCTCCAAAGCAATGTACATAATGTTACTTAAATGATTACATTAACTACACAAAAGAGATGTAATTAAATAAGTAACATAGACCTGTGAAATCATCACTGATAATATATATAGACTATCAACATGCATAAACTATCAGCAAGGCATAGACATCCCCTATGCTCTTCAAAAATAACATGGCATATATAACTCAAAATAATAACATATCGTGTACATATCAAAATAGCAATCAAAGGCATGACTGTCAGGTCAAATAATAACCCTCTCCTGGCCTCCTGTCACGCGATGCCTCAGTACCATCAGCCATTGTACCTGAAATGGTAATTCCCATAACGCGGGGTGAGATAATATAATTACCTCAGTAAGCTAGGGACCCTTGGAGGGCTCTCCACCCCTAAGCTCACTTCTGGTATAACCACAGTATAAAATCCATGCATGCATCAAAATATGTATGACAATGCAGTGTGCAAATAATAAATCTTATTGGCCAGAGAATATAACAAGTATGCATTACGCAAGGAAACACCGTCTTGCAACATACCGTATGAGGAAACACATTCTCATACTATGCAAAAAGAAACATCGTCTTATGCCTCACATAAGGAAACACCGTCTTATGTGGCACACAAACATACATACATATACATGCAACATATAACAGTTCATATCTACATACCATATGAAAGAACCACACTCCCTTAGAGTTTGGTGGAACAAACAGGAGATTAATCCCAATGACTGAAAGCTTAACTCAAGTAGGCTTCCTCTTTTTCACTTTCTTATTGTCCAAGCAATCAAGTCCACAAGACTTTCACACAAAAACACCTATTTAAAGGTTATAAGTGTGATCAATACATATGCTATACATAACACATTAGTCCAATAGCTAACATTTTACTTTTGGAATGAAAGCTCATGATGGACATTTTATGATTAAGAGACTTGCATGCCTAGACGAGAAATATGTACTTATGTTACATATATGATGGAAAGGCTTGTGTGCCTATTTGATAAATTGATGTTTTATGCATGTAAAGTTAAGATAGTGGAATAACTTATGATTATGTCTAGTTTATATTAAACTAACAATCATGTTGAGATTATCATGGTGGAAATTTTCCTCAGTTGTTCGAAATACAGACAGAATGTTGTTCGTTTCATTTTGACCAATAATAGTAGGAGATTACCACACTCGTATAATTAACTACCATAATTTAGTGATAGTGGGCTGATGGCCTCACGGTTAAGATTGATAGACAAAGCTTCGAATTTTCATGTTGCAATACATAAGGAAAAGAAAAAGTTTATTCACATTTTCACACAAGACCAACTGTGATATTTAGGGTTAGCTTCCGCGTTTATTTAATTAAACATGTTGCGCTTAATACCATTTGCATAATAACACACAGGGTGCACACAAGGTGTTACATATACTTAGCAAAAAATATTCATGAATAAAATATATACCCCAATAAAATTATTCTAATAATTACTCATGAGAATTTATTACTACAGTTATAGTTCCTATCTATATTAGTGTTATTTATCTTTTTAACTTTTTGTAATTGTTTTTCAAATTTAAATAATATTTTTTATTTTACTTGCTTCTTAGAAACATGAAAAGAAAATTTATTCCCTTATTACAGGAACTTCACAAATTTTATTTGAAATTGTAGAAATTTTATATTGTAAAAAATTCTCCAAAGTTAGGGAAAGAAGATGACACAAGGTAGCTTAAGTGGATTTTTGTACAAAAATATAGAATAATCATAATAATTAAAAATTCTAACACTATTAAGGAGAGACTTGGATGGTAAAAAACATAGGAGGTAAATAATAAAAAATAAAGCATAGGGGGTAAGTGATTCAAAGACAAACCACATGGATTATTTGAACTTTTCCCTTTACTATATTAAGATCTGGTTTAATATCCATGAAACTTAAAATAAAAATCTTATTTTAATAATTTATTCTTTTATATTATTTTAGTGTATAATTTTTTAAATAATATTAGCTTGATTTTAAAGTCATGATCTTTTGACCCGAAAAAGAAAAATTGGTGTGTTGCTTTTATAGGGGGAAATTACTTCCTATCTCATTTTTCGTCAACTTAGACTTAGCTTCTAAGTAGGTAAGACCTAAATCTTTATAAAAGTCTATTTAGTCTACTAAGTTATTTGTTTATTATTTAAATCTATAATTCAAAATTTACAATACTTACATAATTTATTAATTATAAATTAATATCAACATAATGCATGAAAATATATAAATCATTATAAAATATAATAATTTTTATTAAAGGCTATACAAATTTTTTAAAAAAAATTGACTTATTTTAAAGTCCCATGTATTGTAAATTTTTAAATAAACTTTTAAGTCATGACATTTTATGTTTTTATTAAAAAAAATACAAGCTTTACAAATAAAAATAGATAACTAGTCAGTTAATTTAAAAACAATAAAAATAAATAACAAGTCAATTTCCTAGCGACGTGTACCCAAAGTTTAGTCTATTTCAAACCTGATTACTTAGTCTAAATATTTCTCCTTTCAGCCTTGCATTTTCTAACCCTTTGTGTTTTGTTTTACTGGGTCCTTCGGCCTTTTCAATCCTTTACCAATATTCTTGTACTTTTAGTATAAAAATATTAAAAAACAAAAACAAAAACTTAAAAGTGAGTTTGTCTAAAGAAAGAGAGAGAGAGCCAGTTTAAGTAGTAGCCCCAAGAAATGGAAAATTTATTGATTACTAGGTAAATACAAGTGATTGACTTTAAGCACAAAACGATCTAACATAGTGCATAAGACTCTTTCAAATGCATATATCATTTGGCACGCGACCTCAAATCCTCAACTAAAGAGTTGAAATCCGAGTAAGATGATCCTCCTACCTCCACAGCTTGCCTTGCTTTCTGGCTAAGTGCCTTTGCTCTCTTTCTCATTTCCTCTGCTTCCTCTCCAATCATTATCCGTTTCACTGCTTTCTCTATTGCATCCTTCTTCACAGGCTCTCCTCCTCCCATTCCAATCCACGTTTGAACTCCAACACCCACACCAATTTTAACTACGTCAGTTAAAAACTTGGCGTTGTAAAATTGCTCTCCATACATAGGCCAAGTCACCATTGGCAACCCTGCACACACTCCTTCAAGTGTAGAATTCCACCCACAATGAGTCACAAACCCTCCAACAGCTTCATGGTCCAAAATCATCACTTGGGGTGCCCAACCCCTTATGATTAGACCCTTACCTTCTATTCTCTCCTCAAACCCTTCTGGCAGCCATTCCAATTTCTCATCTTCACTTTTAGAGCCTTTCTTCACCACCCAAATGAATGGCTTCCCTGAAGCCTCCAAACCCATTGCAATTTCTTTAAGCTGAGCATCAGGGAAACTTGACATGCTACCAAAGCAAACATAAACAACCGAATTGGGTTCCTTGGAGTGAAGCCACTTCAAGCACTCATGTTCATCAATAGCTGTTTCCCTTCCTCTATGTGCTTTCTCTTCAGTGTCCCTATTGCACAAAGAAACAGGACCCAAATGCCATGCTCTTCTACCAAGCTCATTCCTATAATGATCTGCATAAACAGGCTCCAATTCATAGAAGCTGTTTGCAATCACACCATAACTCTTCAACTCTGATTCATTAGACTCTTCCAACAACTGGCTGAAAACCTTATCATGCTGAGGAACTTGTGGCAATTGCATCTTTGTCAGTGTTATTTCACCTGGAAGATTCGGAACCACAAAAGGTTCGGTGTAAGAGGAAACTTTGTCTTGAGGCTTGTACTGTCTCACGCATGCTAAAACACATAAAGGGAAGAACCCCAAGCCGTGAAACACGATCCTAGGAATTCCAAATTTAGCTGCAGAATCTGTGGCCCACGGGAAGAACATGTCAGCAACTATGCAATCTGGGTGTTCTTCTTGTAACACTTGTTCCAGTGGCTCCTGAAGCAGCATCGTGGCTTTCATGAACTTGATGAACTTGTCTGGGGCGAGTGCTGACTCAGAATTCTCGCAACCTTCGGGCAAGCCAGTGTCTTCAGATGAAGGGAACTTGATGGTTCTGATATCAACACTGGCTTTTCCAATGGTTCTGGAAATGAAGGGAACGTTGAGATGAGTGGTGACTATGGTGGCTCTGATTCCTCTTGCTGCAAAGACTCTGGCTAGGTCCACGCATGGTATGATGTGACCATTAGCCAGAAAGGGGAAGAAGAGTATGTGCATATCACGATTCTCGTTACCCATCGTTACTTCAGATTTTTTGGCTATGATATTTCTATGGATTACAGTTACTTTGCTAGGACTTGTTCTGTTTATAAAAAGATCTATCGCTGCTTGTAGTTGCAGACTCGTTTTGCACGGGTAAATATTTAATTATTTATAGCTTTTTGTATTGACTTATAAATAATATTTATTTGAATATGATTTATGTGTTTATCATCACGCTTGGCTATGGGCTATGGGCTATGGCTCGTGGACCATTGATTTTGTACAATGTACAGCACGCGTTGCACGAGCTTATATTAAATAATTGAGTAACATTATTTGATATTAAAAAATTGTTACCAAAAGTTTATTGTGAAAATTGAGAATACTTAACAATATATGAATACTAAAAAACAAAAAACAAAATTAGAAATAGGATTTTCACACTGATTACATATATTTAATCAATATATTCAACTAATAATATCAATTCCTACAACTGTTGCCGAATCTTTTGGTGCAAAACACCGTTTTTCTAAATAATAATAGAGGTTTATGTCACTCATTTAATAAAAGAAATTTTTTTTCTCCTACTGAGACCATCAAAAGCTGTGCAACCTTTTAAAAAAAAAAATCTTGCACGAATTTGTGTCTAAGACTCTCAGTGTTAAAGTAGAGACATAAACCCTATAATAATAATAATAATAATGAGTTTTGATTTTCTCTTATTATACAAGAATTGTTATTTTATGTTATGACTTAATTAATGACGATCCCACGTTTATTAAAAAAGGAAGAAAAAAAGTTTTACATGCAAACAAAGAATTATAACAAAAAAAAATATTTTTTCTTTTCATATAACATGATAAATATTTTTTTCAATAATAATAAAAAGGGTTATATTTAAATTTTTATTTACAAACTACATTATATCTTACTAATAAAATATTTTTTAATAAAATCTTACCGATAAGATATAATATAGTTCATAAGTTTATTAAAAAAAATATTAATATAATCCTTAATAATAATAATATATAGATCCGTGCCAGTGGCTTCTAGAGTCTGGCATCTCTCTTATCCATTTACCTCACTGTAAGTGTAACACAACAGCACAAAATATTGGATAAAGTCTTCTCTAGATAAGGGGCTTACAACATAACTTAATAGTATTATTAAGAATAATTTAAACACGAATCTGCAAATTAGGTTATATCATGATTATTTAATGCAAAGCACCTGCGTATGTCAAATTATTAATTATTATGTAAGATTAATGAATCTAATCCTATGACTACAAACTCAAGTATTCATGTCATCTCCGCTCATATTAAAAGTAAACATGGGGCGTGCCCCTTTTATGTAAAAAAAAAAAGTAAACAAATTTTCTAAGTTAGAGATACAAAATTATATAAAATGCAGGAACAGTGACCATTTTGTCACTGTTCATCAAATTATTTACCAGACTGCCACATCAATAGTAAAAATTTCTGGAATGCCACGCGGCATAATTCGCTACTCAATGTAGCGAATTACGTGGACAAGATGTCAGGCTGTACAGTCAGTCACAGGACACGTGTCAAGTCAGTAGTAATTCGCTACACAGTGTAGCGAATTATGCATGATGATAGGGCACAATTATCATGCATAATTCAAATTATGTGTCCAACAGAATTGTGCCATATCATCATACATAATTCGCTATACTGTGTAGCGAATTACTGCTGACTTGACATACGTGTCATGTGACTGACTGTACAGCCTGACATCTTGTCCATGTAATTCGCTACACTTTGTAACGAATTACTGTTACTAAAATATAAGTCAATAAACCGTATGACTTAGTGATTACAAAAGCAAGTACCATTAACAAAAGGATTTTATGTTTATCATGTAACATGATATAACATCTCTTTCCTACACACACATTAAAGAGGTGGGGTCCACATATTTTTCTTTCTCTTTCATCATTTCACTTTCTCTCTCCATTTTTGTGTGTGTTGGAAACAACACTTAAATCATGTAACATAACACTAATAAAACCCTTAACAAAAATAACAAATATATCATTTTACAGATCATAAGGATTGCTTATGTATACAAGGCCTTTGCTTGATATTGAATAAAATACTAATGAATTCAAAGCTCGAATTATTAGAAACATCCTCTTTCAAGAAAGCATCTTTTTAAATATTATTTTCTTGTTAGAATATTCTTAGGTTCTACTAAGAAAAACTTCTTCTTACAAGTCCCAACATCTTGAATCATTAAACCTAACTGTTTCCAATCGGACTTCACCTTAACAAACAGCCCCAAGTGTTTTTGCCCAAACATTAAGCACGCATAAATCTTATAATCATATGATAATCTCATTATTTGGTCACTAGCTAGTCATACCATGATATACTTAGATATTTTAAAATATATTATCAATTGTCATCGCAGTTCATGCATTTAATTTGTCTTAAAAGGGAAAATTTATAAAATTAGACAGAAATACAGTAAGTGCTCAAAATATACATAGCACTAGATCATGATAGAGCCTTATCAATTTGTTATAAATGAACATAAAATAATCAAATTTGACTCATCTAAAGTAAAAAGTGCATGCACTTTAGAAGCAAAAAGTGCTGGTTTTGATTGAAAAATCAGTGACTGAAATATTGTGAGAAAATACATGTATCTATATTAAGAAATATGTTTGTCATTTTTTAAAGGAGCTAGGCACTTAGTTTGTATCAAATTTGTGACTCAACATGATTTGTGAGATAATTGAAACATTTAGGTGTCCTCGTCACTCATCATTGATTACACATTAGTATTTCATGACTATTTCAGTCTCAGTTCCTCTAACGCCAATATCGTTGTCTTTTTATGCGGATTCAAACAAAGTTTAGCATAGGTCGACGGAGTGGTGATTTAGTCAAGAACATCCATAGTAATTTGCATGGTTAGTCAAACTTCAATACGATCATCGTAACTACTTTTATATTTAAAATTACTAGAAAATACAAGTTAAACGGATTACAAATGTTGTGACTTGTGAAGAAGTATGATAGCTACACAAGTGTGTCACAAACAGTTTTATATATTGAATATTATTTGAAAATGATGTCACTATTGCATGGATAGATCTAGAATTAGATTTTAATTAAGTGATGCAGGTAAATATATAGTGAGCTCTTTTTCTAGTGTTTTATGTGTACTTCGGTGAATTGGTGTCATAAATGAACACTAGAGTTGTCCCTTGATGTCTTGTTGAACAACCTGAACTTGGTTTGCCAACCTGCGAGCTTTAAGCTCTTGAATTAAGGCATCAACATCATTGTAAGATGTTCCACCTTCTTCAACAGCTCTTGTAGCATTCCCTGCAATTTCTTTAACTCGCTTTCTCATTTCCTCTGCCTCTTCACTCTTAACCATCAACTTTTTCACTGCCAACTCCACCTTCTCTCTCCCCACAAACTCTTTCCATTCAGAATCCCACGACACCCATTCCCTGCTCCCAACTTGTACCCCAATCCTCAAAACATTCGTTATCAACTTCTCATTCGAAAATTGCTCAGCCGTGAGTGGCCACGTAATCATGGGCACTCCCGCACTCACACCTTCCAAAGTCGAGTTCCATCCACAATGAGTCATGAACCCTCCAATTGCAGCATGTTCCAATATCAACAACTGAGGAGCCCAACCTCTAATAATCAACCCTTTATTTGATTCCTTCATCCTCTGTTCGAACCCATTTGGAAGCCAGTTTTCACTCCCAGTTTCCTCGGTTTTTGATGAGTTAAGGATCTTTCCCACCACCCAAATGAATGAATGATCAGAAGCTTCAAGACCATAAGCAATTTCCTTGAGCTGTTCCTGAGGTAACTGAGCCAAGCTCCCAAAGCTGACATAAAGAACTGAATTGGGTTCCTTAGAATTCAACCAACTTTTCTCATCCATGGTGGATAACTTTCCTCTTTCTGCTTTATCCTCTGAGTTTCTGTTACAAAGGGACACTGGTCCTACAAGCCACGCTTTTTTCCCCAACTCATTTCTAATGTAATCAGCATAAGCAGGTTCCAAGTCATAGAAGCTGTTGATAACAGTGCCGAAACTCTTTTCCTCCATTTGCTTCATCCTATCAGGAAACTGAGATGGGTTTCTCATGAAAATAGGAAGCTGAGACATTGTCATTTCAATTGTATGAGGAAGACCAGGAACGAGGAAAGGCTCCGAGTCTGAACTCAGATTCTCAAGCTTAACATGCCTTCTAATGTTTTCATGGACACAGCGTGAGAAGCACCCGTTACCTGTGAAGACTAATCTTGGGATTTCGAGCTCACTAACGATGTCGCCAGCCCAACGATGAAACATGTCAATGACAATGCAATCGGGTCGGTGTTCGACGAGGAACTGTCTCAGAGGTTCGAGGAGAACCGAGGTATCGACCATGGGACCACCAAACATGTCTATGTGGGCGTGTTCAGGATCATTGAGTTTGAGAGAGTGAATGGTAATGGGAAGACCAGATTGTTGGTCACGTTTGATTGAGTTTTGGAATTGGAGAGTGTTGGAGGGTAGGGGTGGGGTTATGATGGTTGATATGGCTCCATGAGATGCAAACACTCTTGCTGTGTCTATCATTGGTATCAGATGACCTCCCCCTACGAAGGGAAAGAAGAACATTTTAACTGAACCAGTTTCAGGGTCCATGTTCAAATGAAGATGGAGGAGGAGGATGATGATTGATGAGGGAGATGCTAGTGACCTATCCAATCACAGCTTCTATTTATCTATTTGCCTTCGAATATGGCAGGCTAGACTTATAGATTCGTCCTGGCCACAATCCAATGATGAGAAAAGGTTAACCAAAAAAACGTCATGAGTGACGTATTAGAAGCAAATTTCCATGTTCATTTGTCTTGTGGTGTTTGACTGGAGTCTCCAATTTCGGTGATTGGATTGAATAAACCCGTCAAACGAAAGTGACTATTGTTTACGAGAGAATTTGTGCTAGTTCTGTCACATCTATTTTTTCTATTGAGAAATTGTCACTTGTAAAATAAAAAAAAAAATTTCTCTCCTCCACACAAACAAATCAAAAATATTTAATTTTTATTGACCTGAACCATTGAATCATACATGAACCTGAGACATATTAAATATTTCCATTGTTTACATCATGACTCAGTTGCGTAAGGGGGAAGAATTTTCCCCAAGTAGCAGAGCACATTTTTTCTTGGATGCTCTTCGAGAAGAATTTGCGATTATTCATGCGTACATCAAGGGTGGAGAGAATTTATTAGGGTCCGCACCACCATTCTTTAGGTAGTTCCTTGGTGTAAATGGAAGGGTAAAATTGAAAAAGAAAAAAAATAACAGGAGTAAAAAGTAAAAGAAAAAATTAGTGTTGTGAGAGAGAGCACTAAATCATTGAATAATCCTAGAGCATAAAAAATATTTCCTCAAGGGTGGCTTTGCTCTTTTCGGACAATAAAACAACAACGTACTATCTGAATTAAGAGTGAAGATATTCTAATTACTAAAAATTTTCATTATTAACTTACTACTCATCACATCATCACCATTGGATCAAAGATAGAGAATGTTAAAAAAAATTTGAAGAGAAAAAAAATATTAATCTAATGATAATTAGATAGGTAGTAAGTTGGTAGTAAAAAAATTTAGTAATTAGAATATCCCTCCTCTTGAATTAATGCTGATACTTTTAGTTTTGATATCTGTACGTACATTGAAACACTAATGTACACTCTGAATTAATGCTCGTACTTAGTTTTTAACATCTTTGTCAAATTTTAGAATAACCCTAGATTGTTATTTTATACCATAATTAAATATTTTTTCAAGTAATAATAATTTTGCCTAAATCAATAGCAATAAATTTATTTTATGGGTTATATTTATCTTATGTCGTAGAAAAATAGTTATCTCATGCTATAAAAATAAAATTATAAGTGTGATCCACATATAAGAGTAGAGAGAAAAAATATATGTGAGATTCACTTTCACTTTATGTGTGTAGAAAGCTTGTATATATTATATAACATAAGATAAACATAATGTATACCCTAATTTAGAAGAAAAAGTTTGGTGCACTGAATGACTGAATTTGGTACTCCTTTTTATTAAAAAAAAATTACTCATGCTTTTTTTTATATTTTCTTTTTAAGTCTTAAAAAAAAAATTCTTTTTAGTAAAACAGAGGTGCTCCTGATACGTCAAAGTTTTTCCCTAGATTTTTAATTTGTACCCTTTTAAAATATTTTCCCAAGTAATAATAATTTTGCCTAAATCAACAGCAATGATTAGTTTATGGTCGATAATAGTTCAAACGAATACCAGAAAAATTGAATGAAGATAAAATTAATCATACGTAGTCAACTCTTATTCCTTCGCCCTGTACTCCAACGTTACGCCTGGTAATTAAGAAAATAAATGCCAATTTGTTATTTCACTGGGATAATTATACTTACTACTCTTATTATCTATTTTATTATTATTGGATTAACTTAAAATCATAGGTTGAAAAGAGAAAAAAATTAACTGATGTTAAATTAATCCAACAATAATCAAACAAGTAACAAAAATAAATAATAATAAATATAACCTTTCCCTATTAATTCACTTGGCAATGCTTGGCAAAGAGAAATGTGTTGACCGTATCTAAAACAGTGAAGAGTAATTCAATTCTAGAATAAACTGGTAAATACGGATAAGAATTAAGCAGCTCATGAGTGATACAAGATGAAAGACGACCTGGACACAATCCCATAAACTAAAATGCTAAGCAATTTACAATATAAGATAATAGTACAGTGCTCAAATGATCTATTCCAATTCATACATGTCAAATTTAACATAGCCTACACAAAGATTAATTGGATCTAATGTCTTTAAGCTCGCGACAATCCAATGCACGGAAACTATCTCGACGAAGGAGATCGATATATTACTTCCCTCTAAATGGTGATGATAAACCCACCACTTAAAAAGATCCCAGAATGCCATTAAAAGTAGCCTTCAGCTCCTCTTTTGACCTGACATATACTTTCATAATAGACCAAATATCCAGCAGATGATGACTACATACTGTATGCAGAGCTATTTGAATGACGTTTCACAAACTATGCGTGGACCTCTCACCACTCACCAGCGCGTTTTGACAGCAGAGCTGCCTTAACAATATTTCCCCTTGTAATAAGTCCAACCTAGCAAAATGTGAGAAAATCAATCAGCAAAAGTCATTGTATAATGAGCATACAAATTGTAACCAAAAACAATAAGCATAAAAATTAAGAGATTAATGTTTCTCATGTTGAAAGAGATAATTTTATCTCCTATAACATGAGAAACATTAATCCCAAAAGTTAAACTTGTAAGAGGGAAAATAAATAATCTCCTTACCAGCTTTCCGTCATCATCTACTACAGGCAGTCGACGATACTTTGTTTCAAGCAACAGCCTAATACACGAAGTAATGGTGTCAGGCATCAGGTGGTCAACGTTTACAACCTATATTGCTAAAATATGATGGCTGAGATTAAGGAATCTTATTTAATAAAGGTTATGGGTGTGACTAAAAGGTCACAGATTCAAATCTGAAAAACAGCATCTATCAACATGCATGGATAAAGCTGCGTATATGGATTCACCTTACACCTACCCTCGCTAGGGGTTTAATGAGAAGTGGTTTATTTTAATATAGGTTAAATTCCATGAAAACATGTAAATCAAATGGATGCACTGGTTCTGCAATAAATTATGAGTGCTTTTATTGTCTTCATACATTGCCAAGAAATTATTGAGTTACTATCGCGTTGGAAACAAAAAAATCAGAGAATTCAATGTCATTGAATTTGTATGCGAAATAAGTACCTGGCAGCCTCCTCGAGATTAGTTGATTCATGAACAACAAGTGGAGTTGGAGTCATTAAGTCACCAACAACTTGACCATTAGTCTTACTAAGCAGCTTTTGTAACTCATTGAATGCCTGCTATGCAAAGCAATAATTAGAACTGCAGATGTGTAGCCAATTAATAGAATAATAATAATAGATCTCTATACGCTTAAAATTTCCCTTCTGTTTGAGGATAAGTGAAGATAAGAGAGCAAAAGGACTATTAAGAATCCAGGCTAGATGTTTGTATTTCTCCAATGCTCAACCCATACATACCCTTACTATCTGGGCAAAATTGATTTCAGTGACTGCTGACAAAGTGAGTGGTTTTAGGATCACGAGCCATTACAGATTCATTAAAAAATTAGTATGACCAACTTGCATATGATTGATTGTATCTCCACTACCACCTGTTCGCCCTCCCTCCTCTTCTCCTTTACTCCCAAAAACAAAATGGAGAAAAACAGGAAACCCCAAATATATATATATATATATAACATTCTTCTATAGTACAAGATTGGAACTCTTCAATCAGCTGGCTTTGAAGACATACTTCAGCAAAAGTTTTCAACACTAAAGCACCATATTAGTGGATCACAGCTGCTTGAATCTTGACACTGGCATACTAAATGTAAACAAACACAGATGTACTCATCCACATCGTACTTCAGGTAGCAATTTTTCTTCTATCCTATGACTGAGGTGCAAGAAGATTCATTAGTTGAATTGAAGTCTAACTGATGAACTTCAATTTCATTGGTTTCCCTTTAAATCTATACGTTTTTTGAGAAATATGATCTAGTTGTTGATCAAAAAAAAGTTAATGGAATTTAGACAAGGTACTGGAAGCTGCTAAAACTTGTAACGAATGAAGGTCCAGGAAATTTCAAGGGAGCAAACATAACTAAAAAAGTCATGTTGCCACAGAATGTGTTACGGGGTTTAAGGAATTATTTTACCAATGAATATTGGTCAATAAGGAAGTACAACATGACATACCACACCCTGACTGCAATATCAAGCAGACACTAAGATTTAAAATGCCAATAAAAACGAGGACCTGTAAACTGAGGTTTGGTCTCAAGTATGTGCATTCAATCATCCATATGTCCTCCATTACATTTTAGATCACAAAACAAAATCAATGTCATCAAATGAAAAGTGAACTCCGCTTATGTTCATAAAAGTTTGTCTGTGGGAGCAGATGAATTATCAAGTAGTCCAAAATTTTTTTTGTCCAAACCTAAGTTTGTTATGGCCTCATGTCAAACTAAAACCACATCTGCATCTTATAGCACCATTTGGCATCAATTATAGAGGAGTTATTTATAATTAACAGCAAATCTATCGAGTATAGTTAAGAATTCATATAGCAGTCAAATAAATGCTAATGAAACAACAGCCAGGAAGCAGAACATAAAACTGTTACACGTACTTTCCAAGAACTGTCAACGGCAGGGAATAAGTTTGTATCACTTTGAGGACCACCTAAAAGCCAAAAAGAACAATTAGTAAAAAATCTTTAGCAATAGTATGCATAGAGCTTGTTTCACAAGATTGCAGCGGCACATTGAAGGAATCTCAGACTTGGCAGAAAAGTCAAATACCACCATATTTGGCTTCCCTACTCACCAAAACAGAAACTACTGTCTCTCTAATATACACATGGGCATAAAACATATGAATATCTTCTATCTTTCAACAATAACAGCAAAAACTTTGGGAAAATAAAATGTAAACTATAACCATTCCCATCAACCTACATGGACATTGATTTGCTTCGGTGATAAACAGAAACTTTTCTACTTCAAAAGTAAACAAGACAAAGTAGGATAAGATAGTATTTCCAATTTTGTATTCATGATGTCAATGGTACCTGATATCGAATCAATTGCTAACAAGTCATAATCTGAAACGACCCCAACCTGCAGCACCAAAAAATAAAATAAAATAAATAAATAATCCAATGAAATAAAAAATTAAAGCAATAAACCCAAAATGTAAACACACACACACATAGCATTAGAATTACATAATAAAGCAAAAGAAATGTGAAGGGAATTAAACACTTACCAGATTCCAGTCGTCATCGATTACCGGAAGACCACTGATTCTGTTGTTGACGAGAGCCTCCAAAGCTGCAACCAAAAAGATGCAGGGTGCACATAAAATGAACAGTGAATCTCATAGCATGAACAAGGACACATAAAAACGGAGAGAGAGAGAGAGAGAGGGGTACGGTACCTTCATCAACGGTTGTGGTGGTTTTAACAACATGCAAATATTGCTTCTTTGTCATGAAATCAGCAACTGTATAAGTTCCATTCCCGCGCTGAGAAGGGGAAAAAAAAAAACGCAACCCATATAAGAAAAAAAAAAGGAGCATGGTGGCGTAAGATAGAGACTTGATCCGATGAAAAGAAGACTTACTGGGACCGAATTGACGGTTGGGACGGAGGCAAGGCGGAACCCGGAGGAGTGGGAGGAACGCCGCCGTTTAGGGACGGCGGAAGACGGGAGAGGAGAATGGCATTGAGGAAAAAGAAAAGGGAAAGAGCGAACCGGAGCTGTTAGAGTGTTGATCAAATGAATCGAACTCATTTTTCCTTTCTTTTTCTTTTTCCTTTCTTTATTATGTAAAACAATTTTCTCTTCTATTCTCCTTTTTATTTTATTTTTCCAAAATTTGGTTTTTGAATGCTTCTTGTTGTGACGAAGATGAAGCGTGAACTGGGAGGAATCAGAGATCAAATAATGAATGGGAAAGTAATAATGATGATAATGGCACTCTCTGTCTCTATATCTAAGTGGAATTATAAATTAAAAAAAAATGATGGAGAGTAAATATATAAATAAAAAATTGGTTGAAAGAAAAGAAGGAGACGTGAGCGTACTTTACTTTTCCGTTGAAGGCGGTGGAATGCGAACAACATTGACACTTACGCATAGGAGTCGGCGTCGGGCTATTATAACGGCGTCGTTTTGTGTTTCACATGGGTTTGGCTCATTGACATTTTCCAATTTTCAAAGTTTGAGTTTTGTTTATATGTGGTTGTGGGCCTTGGCCCTTTTCCTCATTTCCTGTGCCGTTTCTAAATCCTCTTCCCCTATTTTGAAATTTTTAATAACTTATAAAATGTGTTCTGACCTATAACTCTTCTAGAAAACACAGTGCTAAAACTGAATCAATGTCATGCCATCAATTTTTTGTTGAGGGTTTTTTTTTTTTTTTGGCATCGTTTGTCTCAATTTACAAAAACTCAACACGGTTAATATGAATTACGTTAAATCCATTAAACACAATCACCATCATCCACTCCTCCAACTCAACTTGAAGAAACGTAAATTCATTAATTAGCAGACACCTCATTCATTATTATCGGTTGAAGTAGAAAAATGTCCTTTTTATTGTGTTGGAAAAAGATATGTGGACGGTTAGTGGAATGGAATAACATTAGGATGCTATATTCAACGAAATTCACGGGGTTAACATGAAATATATGTGGAAAAGTCATTATCTTTTTTTTTAAAAAAAAAAAACTGATTCTAATTATCTAGCCGAATCAGCATTTTATGGTATTTTCACGAGTTCGACTCTTTGAGTCGCCTATGGGACTAATTCAGAATTCGGGTGCGAGTCCAAAGATTTCGGTACTTATATCCCTCTTCAAATGGTGTTGATGGGATTCGAACCGAGGTCTTCTCCCACCATTTAGTCCTCATGCTACCAACTGAGCCACCACACTTGAGTAAAAAGTCATTATCTTTGATTGTTCATTATGTTGAATTTAATTCTTTATTTTTTGGAAAAGTTAATTCTATGATTAAAATCTATTTTTTTATACAATAATAAACACATAATTTAATATAAACTATTCAAATCTCTTTCTATTAAACTAATATTAGTAGCTTAATTTTTCAATAACTTTAAAATCTATTTTCTTATTTGACAAATTACGCAATCATAAGTTTAGTACCACCTGAACTTGGAATTTAAAAATTGACAGCTGCAATATATGGTAAAAAATTGCTTAGTCACAATCTGCCGACTGGTGCTCCCCATTATGATGAGCTATCAGTACCCAGCTCTCAAAAGATTCAGTTAGAGGCAAACTTTGCGAACTAATATACAGCTATCATAATAAAGTCCAACAGTGACATTAACATATTCATATGTACAATCAGTTTGATGGAGCATAAAAGAACAAATTCATGTACGTCCTATTAAACGTGGTAGGCGATCAGTGAAAGCATTAACGCATTTAGAATAAATAGCGAGATAATGCATTTAGAATAAATAGTGAGATAATGCATATCATGTGTTCTGTCGAGGAAGGATTTTAAGACTGCACTATCTATATTGAGATAACGCATTTCAAAAAAATAGTTTCTTTCTTATAATAGTTTAATGTTTGAATATGAAAAATCAAAGCATATAACATCTTAGGGTACAGTTAATTATTTTTGCTTTAGCGGTAGAATTTTTTTTTTCTACTGAGACATAAAATAATGAGAGAGAACATATAGAGAAATATGAGAGAAAAAAATGATGGGGCTCATTCTTTTTTATGTCTCAGTATAGTAGGAAAAAAAAATTCTGCTACTGATGAACCAGAAATGATAATCCCAATATCTTAACCATTAAGTTAACTATTTAGTTTAAGCATGACAAATTGATGCTTTTTAAAATCAATAACACCGGTTATAGTATTAGCATTATTAAATATGTATTTACAATCCTGGTTCATCACTTTTAATTTGTAAAAAGTTGAGACATAAGTACTTAGTTAATATAATCATAAAAGGAAGGACGAACATGGTTAATAATAACAATTTCTTATTATGGATAACTTTTGATGATGTTTGATTTGGTTTCGGTTTTTATTTTTATTTTCCCAATAATTACAAAAATAATAATTTTTTATTTTAATCGACTTATCAGTGGCTATGCTCCCCGGATAAAACGTATACGGTATACCCCTTGAACAATGGTTACGGTTTGAACCAACCTGGTTGTTTCTAATTTTAATGTTATACAAAGGAATGATGAAAATTAATATATCGTTTTTGTTATTATTGATTAAGTAAATATAAACAAAAATAAAAAAAATTACATGGCCCTCGAATACTGTAAATCATGATGACGCATGATGACGCAGCACACACATTAACTGACTATTGTAATTCAGATTTAAAAAAAAAAAAAAAAACAGTGTATCGCTGTAATGCAACCGGTCTATTGCAAGCAGATGCAAAATTGATCTCGTATTAGGATGGTATAAGATTGCCACACAGGGCTTCATAGGATTGTGTCACACTGTTACGTGACACGATTCTTGTCGTCGGTGCTAAATTTTATTTTTTTTCTTCACTTATACCCTTTACGTAAATATTAATTAGTATCAAATATTTAAGATCACAAATAACGTAATTATTATTATAAAAACTAATATTAAATTTATTTATTTAAATAATAATACTCATAAATAAATTTTACAAACAGTATGTTAGAAATATAAAACCATTAATGTAGTTTCACACAACAGCTTAAACTTTTAGATTGAATTGATTCTTTACATAATATTAGAGCTTTGGTATTACGGATTCGATCTTTATCGCCTCCGACTTTCTCTTATGAATTTTCTTAGCACAAGTAGTAGGTGAGCAGGTATATTGTCCACCCTTCAAGCCCAGTAAACTTTCGTGAGAGAGAGGACGTGTTAGAGATATATAAAATTATTAATATAATCTTACTCGATAACTTAAGTTTTTAAGTTGAATTATGTTTTTACATAATAAAACTATAAAAAATTGATTTTTTATTTTATTTTTATGTGAAAATTCAAATATTTAATATCGTTTAATTTCAATTTGAAATCCTTTCACGACAATCACAATGCCTCATGAACAACTGTAACACTCAAACAATTATGGATTGACTCAACTTGTTAATATCAAATATTTGAATTATTCAGGTAAAAAGAAAAAAAATCATCAAATCTTATTATTGACAATAAATTTAATATTTTTTTTAATATGCACGGATTCTAAAAGATGTTTTTTTCAATATATGATAGTTTGAAAATTATTTACCGAATTAATTCACTGGGTCTCGTTACTAGGGCCAGCGACACTTGCCGAAAGAATTCAGATATTTGATGTCATCTAAGTTGGGATGCATATAGTCCATAATTGTTTTAATCACTGTCCTAAAATCCGACTCGGTTGACTCAAAATTTGACAAATCGGTTAGACCGATTCGGGTCAAATATTAGATCGATCATGTATCGATCAGGTCAAACCCGAACAAAGTCGGTTAAAATTGGAGATCCGATCGGGTCATCCATTTATAAAAAATAAAACTGTTTCATCTTATCAAAAACAAAATGTATAACTCATTTTAAAAAAAATTAGTAATTTTATTTGCTAGTATACTCTTCTACAATGACCTCAAATTTTAGTTTCCAATACTGAAGCAAGTCGCAGAATAATAAATTAGAGAATATGACATATGTCATTTTAATGTAGTTAAATTTGAAAAATATGAGTTCAATGTCATTGAGAGGTATGTTTGTGGGGATTCTGAGTTACAATTTAAATTGACATAGTAATAACGTGCATTTTTATTTATTGATGCTTCATGTTTTTGAGCTTATTTAATGAACCTTGTTTAATTCATTTTAGATATAGAGAATATAATTGAATTTATATGTTCATATTTATATATATTTTTATATATCCAGGTCAATCGATCCGACCCGTGACCCACCGATCTGACCAGTAACCTAGTACTTCGACCGGGTCGATGCCCGGGTTAAGTTTAACAACAATAGTATTAATACAAGAGCTATTCGTGAGACATGATAATGTTCACGAAATGATTTTGACCAGTCTAAGAGATTTTAAGTTGAATCATGCACTATTGAGCATAGTCCAATGATAATCTGGATGTATCTATTTCGAGGTGGATGTCATAGTAAGATGCTCCTGTACTGTGGCTGATTTGGTGTTGGATTGCTCTGTTTAGCTAGGACAAACGAGAGAGATACGTGTAAGATATTACGATGTTTAAGTTAGTATTTGATTAATGACATTTAGTAGAGATGGATAAGATAATACTTAGGTTTCTAGCCTCCACTATATAATGGTTGGATGCCATGCTCGTATCGCCTTAGTATGAGAAAGAAAAGGGGTAGAATTTTAGAAGAAATGTTTCGTTGTCTTGGTTGAGCTGAAATTACAGTCTTGGACTTAATGTCAATAAAGTGTGATTGGTTAAAAAAATTTCTCCTTTTTATTAATATTGTTGCATTTCTTTATTATTATTTTATGACTCTTGTAAAATTTTGAATTTCTGTTAAAATTTCATATGGTTATTTAAAATCTTCTGAATTCATATTGTGCTTTCTAATCTCACAAATTCTATCAAAATCCTTTAAAAATCTAATCTTGTCAAATCTTAATTATAAAAAGAATTTTTTAAAAAGTTTTATAAATCCATATTGTCCTTACAAATCTATTAAAACCTTTTAAAATCTATAGGATTTTTTATCCTATAAAAGTCTTTTAAAATCTTAATTCAATATAATAATTATTATATGATAATTATTATTTATGACTCTAATTAATATTTACGTTGAGATATAGGCATGGGTTATATAGACTCTAATTATAAAAGTCTTTTATAATTATTATATAGACTGGGTTAAGTTAGGTTATAGCTTAAATAAGTCATGTCTGTGTAAAA